TGCGATCTCCTATAGAGATACATTTGCTTAACTTACAAGTTAATTGCGCGAGAGACCTAAATTTACGTTTCCGACGTAGAGGCCGCGCGATAATTCAATAAAATAAAGTATGCTCCGCGAGATATCGGCCAAGGCCGTGCCTCGCTTCGGGAAGGATAGGATTCTCCTCTCCGGACCGATACAAAATACCGTGTGATGACATCACGAATTGATCGGTCGTTATTTGTAAAACGGCATATTCTCTGATGGAGGATTGTTCATTGGAATTCGATCTCCCGCACGTGTGTACGCGAGGAGGATGCTCGAATCGTTTATACGCGGCGTGTCGGGTGAGGTAATTGGCTTCCTGTGTCACATACTTTTGGATGTAATCATTGAATAATTGAGAACGTGGAATCCATTGAAGAGAGCGCGTGTGGTTTATGGTAATGCAGCTGTGTAAAACTTACAACAACGCGTTCCGGCGGTAAACAATTTTCTTTCGTCACTTTGTGCTGTATAGGAAGCGGCGCGATTCATACGTAACGAAACTCACGGCATATCGCACAAGATCGATTTGGGAAGACCTGCAAGTTTATTATTTCCGACATCAGTTAAAAACCTCTGACTGGTTTACACAACTGCGAGGAGAGAAAAGCGGCGTACTCCGAAAGATAATTTTTTCTCGTTTCACAAGAAGCCGATACGTGAGAAAGAAAGCGCCATTGAAGGGGGACTATAAATGGTCTTTAGAAAGAGGCTAACAATAAAAGTGTTATAAAAAGTACCTTCTGCATGCTTTGTCCGAATGGAGGAACATTAATTAAAAAGACGGAGCTGTGCTTGCAAACCTTGTTTCCGACACTTGTCTTATTTGCGTCAACTGGTTGCAAATTAAATTGTATTTTACATTAAGAGATAAGAATAAACGAAAGTTCCTATTATTATGCGACTCTTGACTTTATAATATATTTTATAATATCTTGTTTAACTGGAACAACTTTTACTTTGATCTCTCATTACTGCAACTTCGGAAGAAATTGGCGCGCAACAAAACGTCGTAATTCTCTACAAAATTTGTTCATTTTTTTTCCTCCCTCAATATATTTATCTGTGGTAAGGCTGAGATGTATTACAAATCCGATATCGTTTGCCGGGCAATATCGATCTCCGTGGTGCGGGCATAGGAGGAATTTCAATAGCCGCGCGTAGGATGAACCGGGCGACCGGAAATAACGCGGTTTCACTTGCCGCTTGTATAACCGACGGTTATCGCATGAAAGTCTTGCTCCTCGCCATATTATAACACAATCGTTCATTGAGACGCGGCTACGGTGATTCGCACGTTTTACTCTTCTTTTTTATCTCTTTTGCAATGAACTCTTCTTATTTTTTTTTCCTTCATCTTGAGCCTCTGAAATTTGATCTAAAACTTTCAACGTTTGAGCTTACTCTACTGATAATGTTAGTAATACTTAATAAGGATTATAATAATATTTATGTCTACATTTATAATAATAATATGTATTATTTATAAAATATAAAATATTATTATATACATTAATAATTTAATTGTTTCTAGTTGACTGTCCGTTTTATTATTATAATTTCTCCTGCAAATTATATATTTATTATTCAAACAACACTGATTAATTAAAATAACTTCATACGTTTTAGTTCACTTTGAGGGAATTTACTTTCCATTTTCGAGCTTAATTCATCTAATTAAAGGCAATTAAAATTAATTTACTTTATCAAGAAGGAGGGATCAAGGTTTGATTTTTTTTTAAGAATGATCCTTAAGGTCTTATATCTTTAGCAAGCTGCGATCAGTCTTCCGATCCGTGAAACGACGTTAAGAAACAATGCGTCGGGAAACTCGCGTCACCAAAGGGCCGACCCTTTGATTACTGGAGCTTAGGCGCGTAAACCGGCATAAATTGCCGATTACCGTTGCAAACGACCACTTCCGTCGATGAGAGTAATTAAGCGCCGGCGCGCGGCGTGGGCCGCATGACGGCATAGCGATAATTCTTGGAGAAGCTCCTCTCTCGCTCTCTTAGTTCATTACGTAAATCGCCTCATAGTAACTCTCCCCGCGAGCGAACGGGCGACGTTACACAAACGCGGCGGGGATCCTCAATTTCCGTCCGTATCGCAATAATTCGCCGGCATTCCACCGCGGCTTCTCCAACCGCCGATGAACGAGTTTCTTGTGGCCGTACAAAGGTCGATTCATTGAGAAATCAGCGGTACCGAGTGTTCCACAAGTGAGAGACTCCCATCGTAACGAAAACCGCAAAAAAATCCCCGATATACGTGCATGTTTCGAATTACAGTTGAGATTCGCTCGAGATAGCTCATATCCCCTCTGCGTTTCTTCCTCGCCAAAAAAATCTACTCCAGATTTACCGAAGGATAATACAATTTGCGAATAGTTACGTCGCGTTGCTTATGAAGCGTCCTGTATTACGGACTAGTACGGACCCATTACAAAGGAGTCTCGATTTATTGTAGCCGACAGCCTCGCTTTATTTAGACTCGATATCCGAGCCCCGAATTCCGATACTCGCGCAGACAATCCCTTTTACAGGATCGGCACGCGACTTAACGAGTCCGCTTGTAAACGTTACACAATTTCCCTAATACGATCGACGCGAAAACAGGCCGTTGAGCAAACAGCTGTTTTCGCAAACAGCTTTCGATAGAATATTGGCTCCACCTTTGTTAGGGAAACTCTCGTTCGCTTATAAATTTAATTTAACTGCAATCCGATCCTCTATTTTTTATTTTATTTTTCAGAACAGATGAAACCGAGTTGGCGGGTGATATTCGTATATAGAGGGAAAAACTGGTTCCGAGAGAGATCCAACATTTATATTTCTCTCCGCGCGGTTTAAATTGTTGCACAATATTATTTAAACAACGGGAGCTTCTAGTTTAAGAGTTACTTAGCACAAAAGTTACATAAATTTGTTTTTTTTTTTCACAATATTATTGATATTTACCAGCAATTGAAACCACACCTCTCACTCATTTAGAAAACAACATTTTTGTTATTAAAAAACCAAATACAAGCGAGATATAGATATTAGATTTTTTCAATTTTTTTCTAAAACGTAAAATCATCATTTTACGCGAAACATTTTATTTGTTTCATAATGTGAACGTATCTCATAACTGTATACTTTTTCGCTTTTATATAAACGGAACGAGTCATTCTGCTATTAAATAAATTAATATTGGATGGATATTATCAGCGATATGTTATCAGCAGACATTAACGATATCGTCAAAAGCATTTAATTTTCCCTAATTAAAATTCCATCGAAAATTATGCTGATATTAATGAACTTTTCAAATTTAATAACAAGAATAAAATATGTGTGTGTAAAAAACGCAATTTTCGATAAAATTTTACTTTACAAAATATTTTAAAAAATTAATAACGTTTAACGGCAGAGATAAATATATATCTGCGAAATATCTGCAATCTTGATAATCACGAGATAAGAGTACACGCATGAATCAATGTGTGATTGGAATCCTTCCATTCTTAACACTTTTATCAACCGTCCTCGTATCGCGCGAGAGAAAAAAAACCGATAAGCGATCTCTCGGCGAGGAACGTTGCCGCTGAGTTCGACGAACGAGTCGGCCGCACTAATTGGCGTAATTAATTGCAAACTTGATCACGATGAAAGTAAGCGCTTACGTAAAAACGAATTGTCGAGATGCGCCTCTGTGTCACGGCGACGTGAAGGGAGCATCGCGAAAACCGCTAAAGATCGATTATTACTCCACGCGAAATAGCGACAGTGAAATAATATTATTTAACGCTCTTAAACGGCGAGACAGTCCGATTTTCACCGGATTTTCGCTTTATATATCAGCCGAATAAAATTTGGAATCAGGCAGCCACGTTTAGCGCTAAATGTGACGCTAAATATAGGAGGCGATAGCGGCTAAGTTTGGATTCGATTAATGCATCCGCGGGTACATACAATTATCCCTCCTTGTGTTTGCAATTTCACACTAATTTCGGTGTTAGAATTTTTTTACGTTTAATAAAATATACGCGAGCAGAGGATATATCTAATTGCGGCGTGGACGAAGAGGCGAGTTGTTCTTATTTTTAATCGCACTTCGCATTTCTTAGCATGCGTCATCCGCGGGATAAATTTGCTCGACATGGTATCGATTTCTAATAGACGTCTGAAGCTCGTTTATTAGACATAGGCTCTTTATAGCTTGATTTGCGTAGTATGGTACCTACAAAGAGTGACATTTTATCGATCCCGAAACGAAAATGTACCTCAAGTCTACCTACGATCCCGTCTATCATAAGCTCTTGTTCAATCGTAAAATCTTTTATCGCGACATTTAAATCCGCTTCGTTTAATCGTACGTTTAAGGGAGATTCGAAAAAATTACTACTTTCTCAACTAATCTCAGTACTACTTTTCTTGCTAATTAAAATTAATTATACGACAGATATCTTCAATATCGGCAGATACAATCTCTAGATGGAGCCTACGAACGGGAACCCGTTATAACTTCGGACAAATCAGTTATCACATTGTTGAAGCTATCGAAATGCTACCTGCTGGTACTAAAATTTCCTGCAAAGTATCGATTTCGATAGTGTTTCATTAAAATAACGATTAATATGATCGGTTTATAAATTTTATCGGTTTAAAATAACCGAGTGAAATAACGCTTTTGAATATTTCTTAATTTTTGTTTTATACAAAATGTACATATAATAGCTACGTCAACTTCTTTTCTTAAATTTTATTAATCATAAGTCTTTCTGGTCTCTCTTTAAAAAAAATTATTGAGGTTAAAATTAAAAAATTAAAATAAATTATCTGGATATAAATCAACAACACTGTAAGAATAATAAATTATATTGCAAAATATTCCCGATTCTAAAATTATGTAACAACAAAAGTCTGCAATCCAGTTTTCCGATATTTTTAGAAGGTCATGTAAAGTATCAGAGAAACGGACAAAAATTGTTCGTTTTGTGAAAATGTTTATTTCATACGATTATAACAATATCAGTTAAAGGACAATATACGAAGTATTAAGCGCGTTTATCTGTCGTCCGTAAACAGTGAATCCCCTCTATTGCAGCCACTGTAGGCTAAAGTGACGTCTCGTTAAGCTTTGTACTCCATACCGCCTCTCTGTCTACCCTGCGAGTCCCTAAAGTTTGTTCCTTTAAAGAATCGCAACGGAGTAGACGTTGACGAAACTTTACGAGCGCGATGCGAATTAGCGAAGTAGATTCTGCCAAAGTGCCTTCCGTCAAAATTGATAGATACGCTAAAAATTAAAAATAAGAGACCTACAGACGACAAGAGGACACGCGCGAAGACAGATTGTCAGCGACGAAAATGTTTGACGAGTTCATACCTGGCTGGTACATGATTTTTAATCTACAATGAAGCACATGATCTCAACGAGGGGCTTTACCGTCGTGACTCGCCCCGAAGACTGAAAGCTCACGAATAATCTAAAGTCGACTTCGTGGCACTCGGATTGTACAGTCTTGATTCTACTTCGCGATGACGATTCTTCAACGTGCGGCACGTCAGGGTTTGTTCGGGGCGCTCCTGGGCCTCTTCGGGGTCGCGTACTTGACGCACAGAAATCCGAAGATGATCAGCACGGCGACGATCGCCACCCCGACGCCCAGCAAGAATTCCCCGCGCACGTTTAACTTGTCGAGGGCGATCTCGCGAAGGGCCAGCGCACCGTCGGGCGGCTCGCACGCCGCCTGGATGATGATGTCCTGCCGTTGGATCTGCTTGGGCTTGCAATTGGCCAGCTTCCCCACGCTCTCGCTCCTGTGCAGACGCGGCAACAGCAGCGACAGCGACCACTGCATCGGGCTGATCTGCTGATACCACGACGGTAGATTATCCAGATGCAGAGTCGCCCCGCCGGCCAGGGTCATCTCGCCCAGCACCACTCCGGCGAACAACGCCGCCAGATAGGTCCACTTGCACACGTGCGCGAAGAACGTGCAGATGAGGTGCTGCAGCATCAGGTACAGCAAACCGATGGCGAGATAATTCCACAGCGACGTCAAGTTTTCGTCCGGCACGAGATGCAGCCCCGACATCGCAAACGCCGGCGCCAGATATATCAGATAGATCACGCACCAGGACGTCACGCTACAGATGAGCTGGAAAAAAAAACGTATTTCCTTTATACGTTTCGCTAAGATAAGATTCGTGATCTCGACGAATTCAAGCTTACCTCTACGAGAATGTACATGAATCTACCATACAGCCCGTCCCTGATATCCCTCTCCACGTTCGGCCTGTTGTTCGCCACGTCGCACATCGCCAGGAGGCTCAGGGGCCAGAAGAAGATGCCCAAACTAGCGTAATGATAGCCTATCCTGTCTCGCAGATGTAGATTTGACTCGCCGGCGATGTCCCAGAATATTGCACCGAGTAGAACACTGAGCGAGGCGGAAATGATGACCTTCCGCAGCAGTCTTGTTAACGTCCACGGTTGACTGTAGATGAGCGTTCGCAACAGTATCGCGTAGAATTGCACAAATATATTGGGGCCGGACATCGAAGGCGGAAGTGCGCCGGGTGGTCCAGGATCGCTGATCGGAGGTAGCCTCGTTCTGGCCAGCTCCGCCAGATGATCTATCCTCTGCGAGGACTCCAGCATCGCTTCCGCCGACAGGTCATCCAGCGTTACTAAATCAACTGGAAAAGCAAGAGAGAGAATTGTTATCCGCATCATTTATTACAAAAAAAAAAGAAAATTATAAATTTGTCAGCAACATTGTTTTTAAAAATAATTTTATTCACAATTTGTCAAGAATATTCGCCACGCGTTTTATGCGACGCCTAATTTAAAACAATTTCGCCACGTACGATAGTAGTCGGACGGGTTCTTGAACGGCGGGCAGGGGAACTCGGCGAGGGCGAAATATGGCAGCATGTCTCTTCTGGGCCCGGAATACATAACTCGACCGCCGGACGTGAGCGCGACCCTTGACACCATCGTCAGGATCTCGTAGGTGGGCGGGTGAAGGGTCAGGACGACGAGACGCTGACCGCGGCTGGCCCACTGCCTCAGGTACTCGACCAGGAAGAAGGCGTCGAAGATGTCCAGGCCGTGCGTGGGTCTGTCCAGGGCGAGAATGTGCGAGTCCTGAAGCAGTCGGCAGGCGAGGGCCAGCCGCCGGGCCTCGGAGGTCGTCAGGGTGTTCACCAGGCAGTGCTTGGTCGCCTCCAAGCCGAGCTCCTGTAAGATAGCCTCGGCCTCGAGCGTGGTGGTGTTGCGACCGCCTCTCAGCAACATGTAGAAGCTGAGAGTCTGCTGAGCCGTAAGTCCGGGGCTCAGGCCATTCTCCGTGGGCAGATAGGCGACGCGAGATCTATTTTCGTTGCAATATTAATAATAATAATTGATTAAACCATTCTGATAAAAACGGCATTTCGAATAAAGACTTCAGATTATATCTGGGAATAATATCATATCAAAGATAATCTATTTTTTATTCGGATTAGCTGAGATGATTAATAGAAGAGTAAAACGAAATTTAAATAAAAAGATACTCTTTGTATTACTCTCGTATAATTTATGATCGTGTAATGAAAATTAATTGATACTTTTTTATGCATGCGGGATCTAAAATGTATGATGTAACTAAAGATTTTTCATCATCGTAGTGGAAGAGAAGTTGCAATCCGAGATTAAGTATGAAGCAATAATTAAGTCGGCAATTGAAGCGATAATTGAATAATGAGCAGCGCTTGTTATTCACCTTGTTATTCGACTCCACTTGAAAATTTGTATGCTAATGCATTCGCTAGTTACAGCCTGTTTCGCTAATATCGGTTACCGTTAGCCGTAGTTAATTAAATGTTCCTTTTCTATTTGGATCATAGCCGGTGCTATGATCTAGAAAGGAACAAAAAGAATCAGTCAACTTAGATAAAGCTGACTCACATTAATGAAACCGACCGTAGATATCTCGTTCAATTATCCTCATATTTACCTCATTTAACCGTTTTTATTATTTCATAATAAATTTACCGTATATAATTTCTAGTGCAACTGAATATCATTTGACGGCAAGGAGCTAACTAAAGTTATTTTTTTAATCAATTTAATTCTTTCGCGCTCATTTAAAAAGTGATAAATTTTACGGACGTACTTAACAAAGAAGCGTTCCTCTCACAGAGTATTGTTGCCAATCGCGTAACACGTTTAGAGTGGTTCACTGCGTTACAAGAAAGCATACGCGTGCCGCAAGGAGATTAGAAAGTACCTCAGACTGCGTGCCGATACAGATCTTCCATTGAGCAGAATATCGCCCCTTTTTATACGCCTCCTGCCGGCAATCGTCTCGACAATCTGCGTGCCCTCCTTCTCGGTAGTCGCCATAATGGCCAGCACCTCGGCGGCGCCGGCCTCGAGGGTGATACCACGAAGAAGCGGCAGCCCGTCCGAGCCTGAGGCCTCCACGCCTCGCAGCTGCAGATGAGGATGCTGCAGACACGGCATGGGTCTCAATGGCAGCGCGTAACCTTCCGGCCCGAGCATACCGTGTCCTGTTTAGAATAAATGTACGTCGCACATAATACGTCAGATTTGTTAAAATCCAAAAATTTTAAAGGCTGAAAGAATTGAAAGCTTCTTCAACGATGACATTTCGTAAAATTTGTATCGATTTAAACTCACTTCCGCGAATTTAATAATAGAACAAAAACAGCGAGAAAGTGCGTAATTTTCGTGGCTTAAATTGAATTTATTTTATATCTTTAATTTTTTTCCTGTTACCGTGCGCTATGTATCCGGGATCAATCGGCGCGATGCTGTGTCGCCGATTGGTCCTGACGGGGCTCTGCAGGAGATTAGCCTCGCTGGCGCTCCTCAGTCTCGGATGGTCCCTCGCGACAGTTAATTGTGAATGCGCTGGCTCCCTCAGCGGGACAGCGTGAACATGCCTGAAATCTGGATCGCTTCTGGCTGAACGCATGATCGAGGTCGTGTGCACCGGAGCACCTACACATCGAAATAGAATCTGTAAGCCTGATGATCTTTAAATTTTATCCACCAAGCCAAGTCAAATGATGAATGAACTGCGAAATAATGTAATAATAACATAGAAAATTTTTAGAATAACTCGAAACTTATTTAAAATATTCTAAAAATATGCGGAATCTTCAATGAATGGCTGATTAAAGAGCAATAGAATGATCGATTAATCGGAAAGTACGGCACTATTTTCGAAAATATACCAAGCTCTATTTTAGACTTACCTGCGTGCGACACGCGTCGTCCTTCCTCGCTGGAATCGTAACCGCTGGAGCCGTCGCGATTCCGCGAGCTGGGCGGCAGGACGCGCGGCAGACCGAACTTCAAGTACGTGTAAGAATTGTTGGCAAGCGGACTCTTAGGCCCGTACCGCGGATGCCGCAGTATGCTCTGCACCGTGGAGTCGCGCAGCTGGAAGTTCCCGTACGGCAGCGGCGACTTCTCGGCGGAGCCGAGCGCGGAATCCGTGAAGTCGGAGTTCAGGTTTTGCCTGCGGAATCGCGGAAATGCGTATACCTCTCGCGCGTCGACATTCCACCATGCTTAATATCCATTCTTTATATACAAGATGTTTTTAATTAATTAGATGAGAGCGAGAGAGAGAGAGTTAATTAGATGATTAAAATACATTTTTTAGATTATGTATATGAGTAGTACATGGCGCTATTCGCATTCCTCTGAACCTCGCGATCGCGGATTGTTCAAAAAAAAAAAAAAAAAAAAGATTAGAAGAATTAGATAGAAGAATGTTAGCGTGTGGTTTGAAATATCAATATTTTCAAGTTAATCGTTATGTTCCGTAGTCACGCATGCTCGGCTCGATAATATTCACTGACATTTAATATTTTTAACGATAAAAACGACACCGTTGATTTGTAATACACGAAAGTACACAGTATATTGTAAATCAACAAGTCTCCGATCGGCAATTCCGTTCATGTGGCGAGCGGCAAAAAAGATGACATAGCATTCGCTTTGGCGTTCCGCCTCCGGTGAGGCTTGGATTGGACACGACGTACGGCGCGGGGATACGCGGATTACACGCTTGCACTTTAACTACAAGTGTTCACCTGTAAATCGACCATGCGTGCAGATCCTCGCTGGCCGGCGGCTCCAGCCCCCTGGTGTCCAGAGCTCCCGGCACCGAGTACCTCCTCTCCAGCTCCCAGGCTTCCGAGCCCATATTTTCCGGTGGCTGCACAGAGATTGCAGATGCGACCGGTTAAATTTCCGCGAATTAATCTGAGATAATGTAACGTCGCTCCTTTTATTTTAATTAGCCACGCTTTAGCGCCGCTGAGGGGGAAAGTAAGAGAAAGGAGCGCTCTCTCTCTCTCTCTCTCCCTTATCAGTTTCAGTTTCGAATTCGATCGGATCGAATCAATTAGCCGAAGCAATCATCGTTACAACTTTCAAATAAGAAAACAGGCGTCTTCTATTATAGGAATAGACACGATATAATTTCGATACGCATGAAAACATACGAACGAAGAAGGGAAGGAAATTTTACTCGCGCGAAAGATATAGTCCTATATCGTAGATACCCTTGGAAATTCTAATATTCTTCTCCGAAGGATCGCATAAAACATGCGGTAGACGTTCGCGTTCGGCGAGCAAAATAAATTACGTCTAAAATTTTACGAACAAACTTTCTCGAACGCTTTCCTACGCGCGGAAGACCCCTCTGACATTCGGTATGAATTTATCGCTGCCGCCGCCCCGCAAGGATGTCCGCACGGGATCGGATTTATTGCGCAACACGTCGGGAGGCTGTTATTAAAGCCTCCCTGCGCGTACAAGACGGAATTTCTTTCGCGTGTATCCCACCGTGTATCTGCTCGGCTCGTCCTGGAAAGTCATGTATAAGAGCACGGCCGACGGTTTGACTCAAGCAAGCACCGAGCAATTTCAAAGACGTGCCGATTATACGGAATACCGGCGCCGCTATGGTTAACTCAACAGTACATCCCGTGGCCGTCAACACGTTTTCATGACGAATTTATGCCCATACCGTTTAAGCGACGAGAAAATCAAGAAGCAAGAGAGCAGCCTTTTATCATCGAATATGGCTATATTAAATACGAGAGACTCTATCATCAGTTATATTAAATAAGAAAGATGAGGAATCGCAACTAGTGAAGGGTTAGAGCTTAATAAATTGAATAATTCAGCTTTACTTTCTAATCTCCAATACAATCGTTATTCAAGAATGTTGAAAATGTCTTTATTAGATTGCAATGTGACAACTTTGCGCGCACAACGTATTTCTTGCCTCGGAATTCAGCTCCGTCTCGATAAATCGCGATGCGTTCTACCGATCCGGCCCCTCGGATTCTTCTCACCGACGGAAAACTGCAAGTAGTATCCCGTAGTTCCCCGCCGGCGAACAAAGGGGGATGGCCTCGTCAAATTTTATCGCGATGCAGCAAATTGTTCCCTTGCCCGTGCTCGATCGTCCATAAAGAACGGAACGTGCAGACTGCGGAGAATGTATCTTCCTCCGCGGTTGGTACACGCCGTGTAATCACGGTGCATACCTGGCTGTCTGGTATTGTTAAGCATCTATAAATACCTATACGGATCTTTCATGTTTCTTTCCGTATTTAGATAATTTCCTCTCTCTCTCTATATATATACATCTTGATCGTTAAATCACCAAGCAAATTCGCGAATTACGTCCCTAGAATTATTAGCTTGCTAAATATCACGACTCGAGATAAGACGTCATTAGACTGTCAGTTTTAAGACTGTTACTAGTTTTTTACGTGTGCGAAATACCCAATCGAGCTTTACATAGTATCGGCTGATGGATCAAAAATAGAGATAGTAATTGCCGGAAATTACCGCCGCGGTGGCGATATAACATGGCGTGTAACAGTACGTTTAATGACGCAATTATGAAAAGCGGCGCGGCGCAAAATGTCAGCTAGCTGCTGCAGGCTATACCGTCAGTGCAGGCTCCGAATGGCCGGGAAATCGATAACTGACTGGTTTCCGTATTTCACCCTCCTCCTCAACCGGCATTCTGGATCGCTTGCTTTTACGAGCCGCGGATCTAAAATGCTCTCGCTCATTTTTCTTGCATAATATCTCGACGCCGACGCGCACGTAGGCGACGATAGCTTGTTAGATGTTTGTTACATCATGGACTTTCTCGGTGTACAAGGTCCTGCGTTCTTAATTTGTCATATCTCAGAATCGTATAACGCGAAGATCTTTTCTTCGCGTCACGAACAGCTTCCGATTTTACGCAAAACACATTCGAAATTCTAATTGACTCAAGCTTTAAAAATTTTATTCTTAAATAATTACAGCCTGTCACTTCATTGTATTTTTTTTTATTCCAAGTATTTTGTTTTTTGATTTCACTATATTTTCTTTTTTACTTTGTTCTTTTTTTTTTAGAAATTTTATACCAACCTTTTATCGTATTATTTTCTATTTTTTGCCTTACACTATTTTTTCATATTCGTATTCCATGTAATGTATCTGTTTCAGTCGTACATGAGATAAGCTCTATTTTAATCTCACGTTTAATCGCAGTTGTTAACTACTATTTTTTTTTTCAATTTAATCGCCGCCTAATTACATTTGTTGCTTTCCGCGTTCCGCGTTGCGGCGCGACATCGTGTTCTACCGAATAGCTGTCAGGGACTCATCACCGTTATCAGACGACATGCTCGCCGGGAAGTCTTCGTAGCGTCAGGAAGACGCTCGCACGAGGATAAATATCAGCGTTTTGCGCGCGGGAGACACGTGTACCACGTATGCCTCGGAGGAAGCGAGCGCAGCATCCCATTTAACGGTGGTGCCCGCGACCTAAAAACGTCGCACGCAGCACCTGTTTCATTGCCACTGCCGCACGGCAGCTTTTAATGGCTTTTCGCGAATACGCTGTACCTTCGACGCTTCGAAATCCGTTCCGTACAACGGGTGTCCGAACAACGCGCACTCCTCGGGGAAAAAAAACATCCGTGTTAGAACACACGACAGAATAATGGAAAGTTTCGACGTTATCTCTGGTTATACCGTGATAAAATTTTCTCGTAGAGAGACTATAGGTGCAGGATTAGTATATATATATATATATACTTCCGTATTTGCGATTCCGTGATCGCGTTTTGATAAAACTTTGGAGGTGCGACACAATGGTAGAAAGCGGAAACGACTCAGTATCACTTTTACGATAGTACAAGTATAGCAAGAACGCGCAAGATTGCGCTTCCAAGTAGAAGGATCAACAAATCTTAGACGCCATGAAGTATAACGATGTCCATTATTCTCCTATCGGAGAACAAGTCCCATCGATGTTCCGCGCGCATCGCCCTAATGAATTTCGATGTGCAAACATCGTGTCTGAAGAGATACCTTATACATACGTTTCGCGCGGATATGCTCCAGATTGTCGAAGGGCGATTAAATTAATCAGGGGTGTCTCTTCCTGCCTGTGAGAAAGGATCGACCTTGATCTCGACGGCGAGGATGTAAATCGAACGGCATTGCAGGCCGATATTATTTCGAACTGCTTGCGAAAGTACACGCGGCGAGAAACGCATAAACCATCTGCTTCATCGCATCGCAACGCAACAACAGGTTTTAATTCGTCTTCACCGTGTCAGTTTGCGGTATGCGTTCACGTTTCCGAGTTCCACGCGAGTGCGAAAACGTATCGGGTGTCCGGCGAGTACACACCGAATACATTCTGTTGGAACGTCGCATTTGTAACTCTCGCAAAAAATTGTCGCCGTATAAGCACAATCTGTCCACGAGTCGGTACTTAATAACGACCGTCTTTTTGCATAAGATTAGATCAAATTCTAAAACTGTACGATTATCGTGCAAATTAATTGTATAAATTTATTTATGAAATTAAAAAAATCTTCAAGATTCCCTCGTCTTACATAAACTTTGCGGAATCCTTTAGAGACATGGCGTTAAACATCCATCGCCGTCTTTTTGCATAAGATTAGATTTAATTATAAAACTGTACAATTATCGTGCAAATTGTAAATTTATTTATGAAACTAAAAAAATCTTGAAGATTCCCTCGTCTTACATAAACTTCGCGCGATCCTTTAGAGACAGGCGTCAAACATCCACCGCCGATCGAGTGCACTACACCCATCTTGTATAGAATATTCTCTTGTACAATACTCTTGTAACAGGTGCGATTTGTTGGCACTTATGACGATTTAATATCACGTCAGCGCAGATGTTACGTTTACGTCGTCCAGGTGGAATGCGCGGAATTACATAATCCGTTTTCGCGCGCGAGCGGCTTTGCGGAGAGTCACACTTCGGATGATACACGAGGCGCATTTCTAACCACCGCAAACGCTGACGGAATGACATTTTTTTTCCCCCTCGTCCCGGAATCTCCCGTTAGAAGTGATGACTCATCAGCGTCCCTTGAAAACTGAGCTGGCTCAGGTACAAGAAACGTTCATGCTGCGTTCTCCCCGTGAGAACCGGCGAGATTGAAATCGCGCACCATATCTTATCGAAAAAAAAGAATGCTCGCGCGCAGAGCGCAGATCGCCACTTCGCGTCGCGTTGTTTGACGGGAATTATGATAGATATTCTTTGTAGAGAACGGAAAACAATTATTTTTTTTGGAAAATAAAAAGAACGCTTGCAATGTTGATTTTAACGATCTATTTTAAGACAGTTCATTTATAATTTCGTCTTTCCAGGCGCGAGAAAAGGATAAGTAACAGAATTTTTTGTACGCGCCCAAAGCGACTGTAAATCGCGCGTAGTTTTATAATACTGCTATCCGACAAGTATCGGATGATCGAGAGTCAGAATGTTGTGTCATACGACGCCGTATGTGCGTCGGATTAAATCGCGTCCGCAAAAATAGCTGTGATATCTTCCGCGGTGCCATCGTAATGCCGTGGATAACCGCGATGTAACACGTGTTCATCGGTGAAGTCATCAACGGATCAACGGATCGTCGCTATAAAACTCCTTATACACTCTATACGTTTGCAAACAGCTGACATTTTTAACTGACAAGAAATAACGGTGCAATCTGTATTACACGAGACTTGACAAGCGGTAGATTCTTTTCTTCGCACGAGCGACCATTATCCCCCCTTTTTTTATTTTTTGAAGACTCGCCCAAATGTATCAATTTTTGCCACTATATGTAATTATTTAAAGTATTTATATTTATTAAAATAACGAAATTAAAAATTAAATATAGATTGAATCTAAATTAATACGAGACGATAATTATAGAAACATGTAGGAATAAAACAATAAGAAAATTGTAATCCTGACGAGGAATTCGAAAGTTAGGGTCGACAGAAAATTCATTTCTGGATGTGGCACAACTTCTCGATGGCCGAAGTCGCGGGTTTAAGTTCACCTGGGTCTCCGTGTCACTGCAACGGTCGACCGATGAGATATTCCCGCATAAGCAGTATTTAACGTATACCCGCATATACGAGAGGAGAAAGAGCCCGCGGGTTTGCAGGCACATACGATTGCGTCGACGTCTGCAATGACAATGGAACTGTGGTTCCCGCTGCACGTAGTCGAGTAGTCCTTGCTTGGTCTCACGATCGTGCATGGAATGATTTAACCCACGCTTATGATTACGGATGCGCGAAACATCACGGACTTGGCCAACACCTTTCATAAAGAAACATCTCGGAAAGAATAAGTCGGAGTCGCGCGGTAGAAATTTATTCTGTAATTAATCCAGCGTCTTCTGAAGAAAAAATATTCGTGATTTACGACATTGACTTTATAATTTTTTTTTTTTTGAAAAATTCTTAAAAATATAAACTAATCTTCTCGAGACAACTTCCATCGATGGCAAACACTCCGAGTGTGTAAATGTTATACAATGTTTGAATAATTTGCGTCCACGTATCCAGCGTAGCAGCGACAGAACTGTGTCGCGGCGGTACCTCTATTATACGTCCTTTTCAATTTACGTAATACCGTGATTTTTGCGGAGACCAATAACCGCCTCTCGCGGGGCCCGGTTAACTGTTCATTTGCATATCCCGTTTCTGCAACAGTTGTATCGAGCGACGACCGTGCGTTTTCGCGGTGATATGAATTCACCATTTAAACGCCCGCTCCGATCGTGCCCGCGTCGCGGCTCTTCGCCGGCCTTTGCACGCGCGCGCAACTGGATCGCCGTTTAATATATGGTACGGAGAAGGAAAGTGCGGATATATGCATGCGGGGCCGCGGCCAATATATTCCGGTAAAGGCCGACGATGATATACGCTGAGGAAAAACGGGCCTTTGCCGCGTATGCCTATTGCGCGCAGCTGAGCATGTCGAAAGCAGGCGGAAAGTGACGTCTAATATCTCACCGGACGTACGTGTACACCCGTACCTCGCGCGCGATACCTGGAAAAATCGCCGGTCGCGTGATCGCTCTTACGGCGATCGCGCAAATTCGCATCGCGATCCTGAAATCCGCGGTCACGCTGCTTTAATGCGATTCAAAGGGGGTAAGTGGTTGAAAACGAGAACGTTTGCTCAGGGAACGGGCGGATACCTACATGCGATTCATTTCATATAATGCGGAGTCAAGTATTTTCCTAAACTCCGTTGCCTCGTATAAAGAGCGTTCAACGAGCCGGAAAAGACCTGAAATCTTTTGACTTTGATCTTTTAAGTTGCGCAGCTGGATTGATTTTAGTTTTTTTCCTTTTGTTTCTTTTCACATGCAGATTGGATTATATTTACGGTTTACGTCAGATAAGTGAAAATTGGAAGCTATATAACCGCGGAATGTCTCCACTTGTTTCGCGGTCCCTCGGCTCTCAGCGAACGGAAATAATATCTCGATTTCATGATCTCCAGAATCTACTGTGAGACTATCCCACGCACTGATTTCTACCGGCTATGTTTGTACGCCAGTGAACCGTGCACGCGTGTCCGTGTACCTAAATAAAGTACACTATGGCCTGGATTGTTGCAGTGTTACCGCCATAATTACCCGTACACGCAACGCGGTTGGAAACCGTGATGGAAAGTCTACCGAAAACCGTCCCGCCGACCCACATAACGCGCGTATCTCAAACGATCCGAAGTGTGCACTCATATTGCTAATTATCCCGATTAATTAAACGCTAGTAATCCCGAGATTATAGCTTTAGGAGAAAAAGATCGTGTCCGTATATATTTCGCTTCTTATCTGCCCCTAACATTTCTTAATAAGAGAAATATAGCGGCACAAACGAAGAATTAAAGAAAAAAATCACTTAACGCAATTTAAAAGATTAATTTAAAATACTTCAATTTAGAGAATAAGATCGAAAAAATAATTGGGAGAAATGCAATCCGTTAGATAGAGATATTTAAGTGTAATATAGAGGCTATATATATATCATTGCTACAGTTGACGTTAACTATTTGCGTATTATTAATCAAATAGAACGTAGGTAGAAAGTATTTTCGTTGTCATTCTACAGATAACATGCAACGTTCAATCATAATAAAATTAGACAGCGGCTGAATGCCGATAGTACTTTTACTACTTCATTATAAGCGATGATGGGCATTATCGGGCCGTAAAAACTTCATCGGAGAATGCAGGATATAAGCGAGGTCAGCTGTTAGACTTTTCAATATTCCACGGAGGCAATCACTGCATCTCTCCTCCGCCTTTCCTTTCCCGCCCCTCCCCCGCTCGGGATGGACAAGAAACGAAAAGGGAAGATCCAATTGAAATTGCAAATCACTGATTGAAACACCGTGCGAGGAAGCGTCGAAGAGTGCTCCTATATGCGCTCGTTAAAGTCTCCCGGCGTGACTTCACGATTTCGCTGGAGAGATACGGCCCCGCACGTCGATCGTCGCGTCCGCCGTTAATGAAAATCACGGCAACTCGCGATACGAATTATACAGTCGACGTATCCGCCGTGTCCGATCGAAGTGAACGGATTGGTGGTGAGGACTGAACCCTCACCTTTCCGCCTCGTGATCGCCAGGGCCTCGCATACGCTAATGTGGAAACGCGCGAAGGAAGTAACGGGGCCGGCGCGAACGCTTTTGCTTTTTATTAATGGAAATGAAAGGAAATGTGTCTTGAGAAATAATATTCATATCTTTAGAGGAAGAAAGATAGAGAGAGAGAGAGAGAAAAAAGGCATAAATAGACCGAAGACTTTGCACTTTGGATTGAAATTATATAAACTGGACTGGCATAGCGGAAATTTAATGCAGCGAGTAACTATCCAATTATTTAGTTGAGTTAAACGTTAGAAAAATACTTAAAAGAAGTATCTCTGTTACAAAACTTGAATTTGAAAAATCGAAAGAAGATTCTAAGTTTACTGAAATCTAGACCAAAAGGATATCCGGCGGTTCCGGTATATTTCTTTCTATTGCTCAAATATAAGTGCATGTGTGTGTTTGTGATTTTGTGCTAGGGTACTTGAGCAAATTTACAAACTATTATTACTGCTTCTTCCAGCGAAATTCGAGAAAGAGAACTCTTGAGTAACGTCTCACCGCTAACGACACAAATCGGGCGCTTTCAGCGTGTGTAACCTATTCGAGAAATAATCCGCCCATTCAGGAAAGTAAAACATTATCCTGTAATATGAGTAATATGGAAGTAGTGATTTCGCGCGCGCATTATAGAAAACTACGCTACCTGCAGTTTAGAGTGTGACGAAATACGATACAATGAGCTGCGTCGTTTTGCAACGCAATGTATTTTACGATAAAAATAATTTTTTGGCATGAATAAAATACGGAAGAGAACTGCTATCTTTAGTAATAATAAGTTAAACCAGTCTGTTAATAAAATTATTACCAGTATATACACACACATGAATAATTAGTAATTTTATTAATCACGACTAAGCTTTAAAACTATGTAAACTTGTTCTTTATTATTTGTCCTTATTATTTTACTTTCATTACATCGCTTCTTTATGAAAACAAATTGATGGTAATTTTATTAACAGTTCCTTTAGTATTATAAAACATCGTGGAAATATATGCTCACACAATTGTCTCGTGCTTACGCGATCGCATTTTCGAGGATCGCACGTCAGTGGGTCACGTATTTTCTTTCCTCGTGAGAAGAAAATACATATGGAACGTTTTAACGCTGTATGCGAGCTTTTAATTCACGGTTCAACGACAAAGAACCTGATTTTGCATAACAAGAAAGACTCGTCGGTATGGTGAAAGCAACGGGTGATTAACAATCCGGCCGTTTCCACTTTTTCGGTCGATCCGCTCTACAGATTCCGGAGAATTTTAGAACGCGTTTTCATGTTTCGGAAAACGACCCTGCGCGACATTTTTCAGCATGCTGTGTAATCAGACACACACATAAGACTCTCACCACGTGCAAACAAATTCTTCCATCTTTGATTAATTATACCGTTACTCCGAAAGGTATGCGGACTTACAATAGTAAATCTTTGAATTTAAGATTTTTATATAACATAAAAAATTTCTCAATTATAGCTCCTTTTCAATTTCTAAATAAATATTTTTAAAAAATGATTTAATAGAAGACTGAAAGAATGTTCGAGTTAACTTAATTCATCAGATTACTTTCGAAAATTGTCAGAAATAATTGCATATTTTCTCTAATTTAAAAAACACATTACATATAATTACATATTTTCTGAAATTAAAAAAAAAGTATTCGAGAAAAAAGAAAAATAAATTATTTTTATCTCTCCGATATTTTCCAACATAAAAAGGGAGTCTTATGAGAGGTCGGTTCCAACCTAAACTCAGCTCCTAAACTCAGCTATCAGCAAGAAAAGCCAATTTATTTTCATTCCGTAGAAACTCTCAAAGTACAATCGGCATCGACTACACGATGAACGAGCCTTTGCGAGCACGTTCGAAAAATCGCGGAACACGCGTGAGGGCGACTCGGCGCCCATAGCGAGGACGATGAGAGGAGAGAAAGAGAGAGGAAGAAAAAGGGAGAAGGCGCTGCCGCTCTGATCTCCGTGACAATGACTCACCGGCTGTGTATTCGCGCGCTGGGCCTTCAACCTTGGAAGCTGGTAGAATCACGACGACGACGCTGCTGCCTCCTCTCCATTCCGGTTCGTCGTCCTCCACCGCCGATCGCCGGCCGATCGGACTTCCCGCACTTCGCGTGACAGAGAAAAGGGATGCGCTTCCCTCGCGTGCGCGCGGGAGGGCCGTCCTCCACCCGCGGAGGGAGATGAAAAAAAAAGCGGATCTTTCTCTCTCGGGCGATGCTTCGTTATCGCGATGCCGCCGCCGCCGCCGTCGTTGTCGTCGTTATCGATTCTTACCCGGGATATCTTCCTCGGCTTGCGATCGAAGCGAAGCGCCAGGTATCGCGCGACTCGCCGGAGTCCTGCCCGAACGCTGGCCGCCACCGCTGACGGAGGAGCCCACCGAGGCCCCCACGAGTTTTCCCTCTCCGGGGGCCCTACCGGTACCCCACCGACGAGTTCGCAATGGCGTGAACGCGGCGGGTCCGCGCGAGATAGCTTGCGCCCATCTAGCCGTGGATCCTCCGCGCTTTTTTGCACTTTCGTTTCTCGTTCTTGCCTCTTCAATGCGCATTCCTGCTTTGTTTTACGTGGCGGCGAGATATATTCGAGTTATTGACGGATGTTTTTTTTTTTTAGAGAGAGAAACGGAGGCGTAACTTAAGAATATAGAACTCTGATAAAATGAAACGAAGTAAAAGTGAAGCAAAATGCAAGTTAATGTAAAAGAAATAATTGAAGCATCTTCATCGGGTCTTTTCTTTCTTCAGCGAATTTATCGAACTGTCTACGCTATATTTATCCTACATTCAAGAATTTGCATATATCTTAGATATAATTAACGGTATAATTAATTCTGATTTTTTTCGTTGTTATAAGTGGAGCAGTTATAAGATAAAATAACTGGCGACATTTTAATTTTGTCTATTTCTGATATAAATAGGAAAGATATAAAATTCATCTTTTGCATCTTGTTTTCTAAATTAAACTGAAGTGTATTTTATTATTTCGTTTAATACATACTTTTAGAATTTACGAATTGTATTCTAATTTCTAATTCATAGCTATACTGAAACGTCGCTAATTCATATTTCTTCTCTTTTAAGTAAAGAAAAGAGGGATTCTAAAACAAAACATCGAGATAACATTGAATGAGGATCAACGACGAGCTGATCGCAGATAAGAGCTCGATGGAATGGCGTGTCCGCACACAAAAATGCGACGTATTTTTTACGGTACTTTGCGGACCGCGATCGCGAGGCATCGAAATAGCAGCTCGTCTCGCCTAGCTTATACGCGACGTTGAGACTCGCTCACCGGCGTTGCTTACGCCGATGGGTCCTGCTCGGGGTCGGTCCCCCTCCAGATCGCGGGCCCGCGTCGGAGAAGACATTCACCTCGAGGAGAACCAACTCCCAACCGGGTAGCCAGCCAAGGTATCGTTACCTGCGGCTACGCGTTTCTCGCTCCTCGTCCCAGCCTCGCTCGAGCGAGTCACTTTTACGCGCTGGTCAGTACGCGCTGCAATCCGCACCGCGGTAGCACGCTCTCTCGCGTTGGCATATCGCTCGACTGCCGTCCGGAGCACCATTTTGCGGAGGTGCGGAAGAACGTGAAAAATCGCACGCGATTGCGGGTGGGTCTCTCTCTCTCTTTGTTAAGGTGCACACGCGCTCCGGCACACACGGTGTCCTTCAGGCCACGGTCAAGTGCGCGACGGATGGATGAGTCTGGTGACAGTTTTGCGTGTCCTCACATTTCTTTGGATGTTATTTATTATCTCTAACATCCTGTGAAAAAATCGTACGTTTCCCTAATAATATTAATATTGCGTTATTGATTATTATACGATTAATTTGGCTAATAAATAAGCAAAACTGTTATCCGAAGATTTTAGAATAACGCGATGTTACGTAAATTGTAGAATAAATTGCGATGAAAAATATGTTATATTTTGGAAGAAATAATTTTACAAAATCTTTACCTCTCTCTCTCTCTCTCTCTCTGTAGAGCCCCGCAGATGTTACTTGAGGAATACAATTGTGGGTACCGGATGTAATACCGATTCTCAAGATGCTTCCCTCCGATTGCGTTCTGGACATATCCAACGTGTTTCACTCCACCTCGGTGGTGATCGAAGGAACCTGCCTCAACAAATCCGAACCTACCGCGGTACTTAGAGATGTATCAGCCCGCGTTCACGGCGGAGAAGTCTTGGCTATTCTAGGATCGAAGGGCTCTGGCAAACGAGCGCTTCTCGATGTTATCGGTGAATACTTTCGATCATTCTTCTCAGCATTGTACTGTATTTCGCAAAATTGTAAAAAAATGTATAGTTAGTTTTTTGCAATTTAATTAAAATTTACATCATGACTAGTCCTTTCTATTGTATCTGGCATATTTTTGCATTATGCCATAATGAGAAAGTTCTTAAGATTTAACCAGAGATATTTTTGTCATAAAAAATATCTCTATGGTTAAATCTTATTAACAAAGAACAATAAAAGACATAGAAAAAAATGAATAATGTCCCAGAATCGCGGCGCATTAATTAAATTTAAAGTAACTTGAAATTTCTACTATAGCTGGCAGAGCGGAGGGCGAGACGAGGGGGCGGGTTACCCTGAACGGCAACCTGTTGACGCCGGAGCTGTTCCGTCGTCACGGCGGTTACGTGGCTCACCGGTGTCACCTGCTGCCGAGTCTGACGGTTCGCCAGACCCTGATGTACGCCACGTGGCTGGCGAATCTGAACAATCGCGAGGCCCGGGTGCGGCAGACCCTCGCCGATCTGGCGCTCTCGCAGGTGGCGAACCGGACGGTGAACGATCTCACCCGACCGGAATATCGGCGGCTGATGCTGGGCGTGCAACTTGCCAAAGATCCGACTCTGTTGCTGCTGGACGAGCCGACCTGGGACACCGACCCCCTCAACACGTATCTCATCGTCTCGATGCTGTGGTCCTACGCGACCAGACGCGGCTCCATCGTCGTCCTCACCATGGAAACACCCAGATCCGACGTGCTGCCGTTCGTCAGCCGCGTGACGTTGCTGTGCCTGGGCGCGGTGGTCTACTCGGGACCCACCAGAAGCATGCTGGATTATTTCACCTACATCGGCTTCCCGTGTCCGGAACTGGAGAATCCCTTGATGTATTACCGTGAGTATCGCAGTGGAACAATGTCACTTGTGAATGTCGTTCCTTTTAGAATATTCATTATTTCAGCAATCTTTATTGTTTTCCGCGCAGTTCTTAGAATGTTTTAAAAGTGTCTAATTTAAAAACAATAGACACTTGAAAAAAAAGATTAATTAATAACTCACTATATTAAAATTCGTCGCTTTTTTTTTTTTTTTAGTGTGCTTGTCGACTGTCGATCGCCGCTCCAGAGACCGCTTTCTGGAGTCCAATCAGCAGATATCGGTCTTGGTCGAAAAGTTCAAGGTGGATGGAGTGCTTTACATGAAAGAAGGACCGCAAATGCCGCACAATATGAAAGATACAGCCCTCGGTATGATGCACAAGGGTTTAGGACGTGGAATTAAGCCTGGATGCTTCTCGACTCTTTTGGCGCTATATTTGTGAGTTTCTCGAATTATAACGATTTACGAAAGTGCAGTATCAAATTATTTGAATTTAGAAAAGATTTTATTGGCAATTATCGTGAATTTTTTAATGTTTGATATTTCTTTGGCATCACGTTGCCTTGAAATAAAATTATTTTCAAGTTGATCTTTAGAGTCGGTTAAATTAAGGACCGATAGTTTTAGGATATCTTATTAGTCATTCGCAATCATATTATTATTTAGACGAAGTATGGCAGCTACGTTCTCGTTCAATAAGATCGGCCTGGGACACTTCGCCGCTCGCCTGCTGTTACTGCCATTCGTGGTTGCTCTAATGAGCATACTGTATTCACATTCAAGTCCCGTACAATCAAGAATTTTCTTGCAAACCGGTGGCCTGATCTTCAACGTCCTGACGTTGTTTTACGTGGCCGGGATAGCCACGACGTCACTTTTGTGTAAGTCAAAAGACATATTTAAAAAATCAAAAAGAGAACAGGTAGTTTCAGAGAGAGAGAGAGAGAGATATCACGAATCTTTACCTTTAGAGATATTTAAAAAATATTTAACGTTCTTCGAATCTCTTTTATTTATACCGCTATTCAAAATATGCTAAAGTGCATTTTCTTCTCATTTACGTCCGGTATTTAATCGCATAATTATAGTTCCAGGTTTCCGCGCAAGGTATTACCAAGAGAAGCGGGAGGGTCTTTACGGTGGCGCGATGTTCCTGACCGCGTACACCATGCTGAGCCTTCCACTGAGTTTCATATCGACGCTGATAACGATTGGGATTCTGATACCAATTTTAGAGCTGGACCACACCTCGTGGGCGTACGCTTCCGGCATTCTGTGGTCCAGCTACGTGGCGGCCGAGCAAGTGACGGTAGCCGTGCTGATGGTGGTCGGCAGGCCCGTGATCGGCGCCATCACGGTGCTCTACATGACCCTGTTATCTCTGGTGGTTGCGTCGGGCGCGATTCGTAGCCTGAAGAACTTGCCCTATTGGCTGGCGATGGCGACGACCGCGTTGCCGACGAGATACGCATCCCTGGCGCTGAATCAGTTGGTCGTCGACACCCCCATCCTGTCCAATCTACACTACAACGAGAGCTTCACCTGTCCGGGCATACCCGAGCTCTGCAGGTACCCCGACGGCAAGACTTATCTGATAGAGCGCTTCACTAGAGAGGGAGAGAACATTTCCGAGGTGTTAAACGTGGATCTGAATCTACTTATCTCTCTAGCGTTCGCCGTCGGTCTTATTATACTGAACAGCGTCTTGTATCTATTGCCGCTGCCGGCCAGAGTAAAGGCAAAATTCAGAGAATAATGGATCGTTAAATATATTAAATTCGCATTTAATATGATCGTCGCATTCAACGTTAAACAAAATTCGAATTCTCGCCTACTACATATAGTATCACACTTATTTAAATTAAACTCTTTGTGTATATAAAATTGTAAATAACATAGAATTAGGAATATCGATCAAAGAAAAAGGGAAAGCATATCAAAAATATTAAAAACTTTTATTTAGATATAAGCTATGTTATAAAATAATTTTCTTTATCATAATGCTAATTAGAATTAGTTTATGTAACGTGATTTCGCTTATTTGCAATAGCAAAGTACATATCATAAATCGTTTTGATGATTTACAACAAATAAGAATATATGTACATTTAAAAAAGAATTAATTATTTTGTACAATATAATTCAATTAATGTAGGTATTTAATCACGCATCGTAATGCGTACTTGGTAATTTAAACATTATAACATATATTACATGAAAAATACGAAAAACAGACATATCAACAGAAACATAATTATGCAATATAATCAACGGCTTTACTATTTGTTAAATTGCATCTTTAGTTTGTAAAATATATTACAAATTTACTTTCAGGCAATCATCGTGATATCTCTCGAATTACCATATCCGCGTATCACATTTACAATTTATATATACGTAATATTACGTAATTTATAAAATATATTACAATTTATAAGTCCTCGTCTGTGACTTGTCCCATCTCCTTAAGATCGTCGGCAACACTGAATTCACAGCCCGTCGAGCTGACGACCTGGCTAATATCGACATTATGTGCAATCTCAATAAGCTTTAATCCTTCTCCTTTCATCACTTCAAATACTCCGAGATCTGTGATAATTAAATCTACGCATTGTTGACCTATAAAAAAATTTAATTATTACGTACAGTGATAAAATAATACAGAAATATTTAAAAAATTAGCTTCAAAGTGTACCGACCAATTAAATAATGAAGTAGTATCAAAATAACGCGTAGACAAAATTAAGAAAAACTGTAGTATTGCAAGGTTATTACCTGTGACAGGCAAGGTGCAATTCTTCAAAATTTTCGGACTCCCATCTCGGGCTGTATGCTCCATAGTTATCACTACCTTCGTGCTTGGCCCGGAAACAAGATCCATGGCACCACCCATGCCCTTTACCATTGTACCCGGTATCATCCAGTTAGCCAAATCTCCGATCTCCGATACTTGCATGCCTCCGAGAATAGTCAGATCAATGTGGCCTCTGTGTGGAAAAACATAATTCTTAAACCTGTTTCCTCTTACGCATATCTTAATATGTGTCGCGAAAAGAACAAGCTTAAAAAATATACCCTCGAATCATGCCGAAGCTCTCGTCGCTACCGAAGAAAGCGGCGCCGGGCAAGACTGTTACAGTTTCCTTTCCAGCATTGATAAGATCCGCGTCGACGTCATTTTCGTCCGGAACAGGGCCCAACCCGAGAATACCGTTCTCTGATTGCAACGTCACTTTCACACCCTTCGGGATGTAGTTGCTGGCAAGCATAGGTATGCCGATTCCCAAATTTGCTGTAAAAATTTCCGGCTTGTAGTACGGCGGTGATGAAAAAAATTTATATCTCTCTGATCCAAGTATTTAATAAATTTATATTTTACCTACCATACATTCCATCTTTAAATTCGAGTGCAGCGCGCCTGATAATCATATCCCTCGTTTTACTAGCCGGTGTCACTTTCTTGGGCTTCATGGTTTGTTTCGTCGAGCGTTTCTGTAGAATGTGAAAAAAAAAAGATATTCATGAGACATTTACATAACTAAATATGCATAACGAATATTGATCGAGGTACGTAAACGCCAACCTCAATTCGTTTCTCGTAAGACGGCCCCTTCACAATCCTGTCCACGAAAATGCCGGGTAGGTGAATGTGGTCGGGATCTAATTGGCCAAGTTCCACGATCTCCTCCACTTCGACGATCGCCACTCTGGCCGCCTTGCACATCACGGGATTGAAATTCCTCGCTGATTTCCGGAAGATCAGATTGCCCGCGGTGTCGGCCTTCCACGCCTTCACGAGCGCGAAGTCGCCAGTGATGGCGGTCTCCATTACGTAGCTCCGTCCGTCGAACTGACTCACGTTTCTCGGCTCGCCCGATATCTCGGCGTTGCCGTTCTCGTCGTACTTCACGATAACGTTGCCCTCCTGTACGATGGTGCCGAAAGCCGTGGGAGTGTAGAAGGCCGGAATGCCGGCGCCACCCGCTCTCACACGTTCCGCCAAAGTGCCCTAAGAAAGGATTATTCGAGTTGTAAAAATTTGCAAAATTTATAACATTTACAACTCTTCTGTCGTCTTCTAAAGCGTTTACCTGCGGCGTCAGCTCGACCTCCAACTGACCGCTGAGATACTGCCTCTCGAATTCAGGGTTTTCACCCACATACGACGCGATCATCCTTTTGATCCTGTGCTCCTTCAGCAATATACCCAGCCCAAAGTCTTCCACCCCAGCATTATTCGAAACCACTGTCAAATCCTTGGAGCCCCTTTTCAGTAGGGCTGCTATCAAGTTCTCGGGAATGCCACAGAGACCAAATCCACCGACCAAAAGTTTGGCCCCATTATGTACGTCGGACACAGCTTCCTCCACACTTTTGAACACTTTACCGTTTCCCACTGGTGTTTTCAGCTTCTCAGCCTCTTGCTCCACTTCTGGGATATCAGCTTTGATAGAGAAATTAGCTGTGCACACCTGTCGAACAAGATTTAAATTAGATCTGTCTCGAAAATATTTTAATGCACATCGCGTCTGCCTTTGGAAAATAAAAAATACACTACGCTAATATTTGCAGAGAAATGAGAATATAAAATAAATATGTTCAGAGATAAGAAAATATGTAAAAATACTTTTAGAAGAGCTAAGATTTACGAAATACGTTACATAAAATAACAGATAACGAGCGAATGAGTTTCCTAAAACAAAAATTAAAAAAAAAAGTTAAACGCCGAAGATACAAGTGCACGATATAATTTTATCTAAAATGCATATTACGGATAGTTTACAAATTCGTTCGTTAAATAAATGGAGAATTGAGATATCTGAGAGGGGGTTTTTTTGTATATTGTAACACACTTAAAGATAACTCTTCCCGACGTAGGTTATGTCGCAATGAGAATCGCATGTTGTTTACGTACCCGTGATACACTTACGAAGCCCCGGGAGCCGCTGCTCCAACGCAGAAATATACCGCTGACCCCTCTCAATGCGGATGCCATGGTCACCGTATGCTAAACGCACAATTGTTATTCACGAGACTTATATAAATTAATATTCGTCGGCATCGGAGGTTAAGCTCGAGACTTAACCCGCTCCGATATTAACTTCGTCAATTCTTCCCGGAGTATCTTGTTTGTCTCGATTGTGCGTATCCTCCGTTTTTCGGATCTCGTTGTTATCTCAGTCTCGACGTTACCGAAATGCCACGTCTCGCAGCAATCCTCCCAAGATCTTCGCGCCGCGAAACGCAATCCTTTCTCGTCGAGTGTTCACGCACGGAGGCGCGGACGGTGACTAAACAGAACGAAGCGCGGGCGCCGCGGCGCAGCGCGCGTCGACGGTCGACGTTTTAAATCGAAATCACGCGAGCAGGAACGTATATTGATCTGCGTTAAAGCTCGAGAAGCGATTTCAAGAGGAGATTTCCAGCCTTCGAGTTTAATATCTTCGTGTCTACTTTTTTCAAGTTTACGTAATTCCGGAGATAAAGGGCACAGCTGTAGCGTCAATATTCTGTTATTTTTTTACATTAACGCTAGCTGTCAACTATGAAATTAATTATCGATCATGAAATCTATTTTTTATTTTCGACGCTTTTTCTCTTTTGGCGCATCGAATCGTTCTAAGAGGCTCGCAGGCCTCTTGTCTTGAAATACGACTCTGTCGAGAGGAAACGTGTTTATCGTGTTTACGCCGTTTGGCAGCGAGGACGTCAGCTTTCAAAAGATATTATGCAGATGCTATAGATATACTGATCTAAAAGAAGAACGATTTGATAGCATAAACAAATATATCACTCTGTTATTCTTTTTTAAATTGCATTCCTCAATACAAGATCTCCACACGACTTCTCGATAATTTTACCTGCAATTTTGTCGACCAGACTATAGCGATTAATTAATTGTATAAACATATAAGCAAAAGAATTTTGTGGGTCAGCATTTGTTTGATTTAGTTGCAGCACAAAAATAATTATTAAAAAAATAAGTGCTCTTATTATTTATTGTATTTGTTATATTAATATACTTAATCGTATGTCATATTGATATCTATAAGAATTTGTAAAATGTTCCGTACATTATTTTTAATAGGCGCAAAATTAGTTAAAACTCTTGCTCCACGTTCGCCGCTCTGCAAGAACATGCAGTTGCGCAAAATGGAAAACTTGATTTGCAACACGTAAAGACTTCAAGCACGAATAATGCCAGAATTATACGACCTCTGTTCTTTATATATCTGATAAATAATGTTTCAACAGAGAAGACACGACTGATTTCTCCAATACCGCTGTCGTTATCTCAGATAGTAAATGCAGCCGAGCTGTGAAACCGGCAGAATTACATTGCGTAAATATAGCGATATCAGAACACTTGCAGGTTTTATACTCTGTATTTATCCGATGTGTGTGCGTGTACGTGTGTGGAATCGATAAAAATCATTCGTTTGTTACAAAGACTTTATTATTCTCGGGACTGAATATAATAATGTTTTTCTCGCTTATACTCATATCTCGCGTAAACTTATATATGTGTATTAAAATATATTAATCCATACTGTTATATATATATCTTCCGAATGCTCCCTGGAGAACATTAAATACCAGAATGCCAGATTATAAATCTTTGAGATATTTCACCAAAGAGACGTGTGTCTTATTTGAGAGGTCTTTTAAACAGTTGCCTGAGTCGATTATTATATTAATGAATACTAATACGGCTCGAGTGTTGGAATAATATCATCGATAACGATACCAACGCGATGACGTCGCTTGATAACGCCAATCAACATGTTTACTCTATCGTTTGAATAATCAATACTAATCGCCGCACTAACAGATATTTGTTTTCCGCGTGCTTTTCGCACAGGTCGATATCGATTTGAATAAACAGGATCGTTTCGCGATTACAAGAAAATCGAGATCGGTGCTTTAATGCAAAAGAAAAGAGACAAAAATTTTGCAGCGCACAACTTAATAATACTTTTTTTAATATAATCCTATAGGATAATACCTTACAAATAATATTGAAATTCTCTCTTTTCGCCGTGAAGGCCAGAAAAGCTTCATTATCAATTTTCTGCGCAATCTGTAAAAGATTCCTTTCCTTGTCCTCTTTTCCTTCAATTTGAGCCTATATGCTCTTGCCATATGACACAATATATGTACGATACGATACGGAATATTGTAGATTTCAGCCTACATCTTCGCCGCGCATTTAGGACCGGATACGCCGAGCCCTCGATTATTCCGCATTTGAAATTTTAAAGAGCATTCGCAAACCAAATTATTTAATTTTTACAATAAAAAGATTCAAAGAAAAGAGAAATCACGACTGGAGCTAAACGCGGCGTCCACGAGTAGGCCTCTGGATCACGGTAACACGATAATGAACGAACGTCGTTTTCTTCGATTATAGAAAAGCTAGTACACTTCGTTGTCCGTTCACAGATAATTTCGTCTATAATCACTCCGCCACTCAGCGTTCGCAGTGCTGATGATCATCACGTCATCGATGGCGGCCCGCTCTGGCATCCGTCACGGCGCCCCACAATTCGATCACGAACTCGTCGGTGAAGCCAAAGTCCTCCAAGTCGGAGTTGTCTATCGCCTCGGCGAAGTCTATACTGTTGCATTTGCCATCGGCAAGCTCCCAGATTTGCGTGGCTGCACAAGGACATAACAATCGAATATCAGTCTTCGGTAAAATAAAAAGAGAGAGAAAGAGAGTGCGATCTCAAAAATTATCTATCAGAAAATCTATATTGATATGTTGTTACACACACTCGCTTCTATTATATCATAGCTAGATTGAACTAGATATAGAACTTACCCAACTCTGTATCGGAGATTCCCATGAAACTCTCCAAGATAGTATTAATCTTCTCCACGCCTATCACAGCGGCATCATCAATCTGCGCAAATATTTATTTTATGTTCTTAAGAATTTTATGTTTATCGCTCAGCGGCACGTACGCTGTTATTCATTCAGCTGGGCGGTACGCCGAAGTGATAAATAAGTTATAATATCAAAGTGGTATCTATAAGTAATCCAAAGATCTTATAACAGAAAGGAAACTAATATTTAGTGTACTCGTCTTTTTTAAAGATCAATATCAGAAAAACATATATACAGAGAATACATATAAACATATATAAGATATACAGAGAACGCTATACTTATTATTTGTCCTACGAGATGCATCACTTCACCGAAATCCGTTCACCATCGTTCCTATTCTATACGCACCTGCTCTACGATTTGCGCGCTACCGTCGGCCTTGAATCTCAGGGTCTCCTTGCCGGACCCGTAGCCGGCCTTCTTTCCCTTCTTCAGATCACCGCGCGGTCCGATGCTGCCGAAGCCGTTCTTCTGCGGCTCCACCAGCCTCAGCGTGAACCTCGAGCCCTTCGGTATGTCCTTCAGCATCTTCGCCACCTCGAAGTGCCGCCTGCCGACCAGGCTGGTCGAGTCAATCCTCTCGATGTGATCGCCGACCTCGATCACCTTTATCCTGTCGATCACGGAACCCTCCTTTATGCGCTTTATGAAAGCGTAACCGGCGCCGTTGTCGGTGATCGTCAGGCCCAACGCGTCATCCGTTTTCACCAGCTCGATTTCTTTCGGCCGACCTGCGCCGAAAACGCGTTAATTGCTTTTGATTTTTTACTTATACAATTTGTATGCTTTCTAATTAATCTAATTTGCTCAAATGTATAATGAATAGCGACCTTTCTTATGTGCGAATATGAAGTCACCCACGCCAATTTGTCCGCCCAACAGTTCCGTCATGTCCACTTTGTGCGTGTTGAGCGTGCAAAAAAGAATCTGAAACGTCAAAATTTCGTTTTATTTTTAACATTGAACACTTAACCCTCCCTTACTCCTCCACCATATATCTTCCAAATTTTACAAAAATTACTATTTAAATTTGCTTTATCGTTATGTATATTAAATTTACTTTTATTGAAATGTCTTTTCGTTTCGCTCTTAGATTTAATGCAACTCTTTCGTGACGATCATTTAACCGACTTAATTTCGATCATTGATATCTGATTTTAATTACTGCAAATATTTTGTTTAAATTACATCCAGATTTATTTTTCTAATTCACCCATCGTCGCAACGCTGCGACAGTTTGCTTAACCAAGAGAAGCTAGACCCCGTCGCACTTTAAACGACTCATAACGAGTCGACGAGCGACCTGGTTACATCGCGACGACCGCGTTTACACGACGAATTACACGTGGCTCTCTCTCCTCTCTCTCTCTCTCTTTCTCTCTCTCTCTCTCTCTCTCTCGCCGAGAGACATATCCGCTAGGTCGACGAGAGAGAGGCCACGGTCCGTGACCGGCGCTTCCTGCGTCCGGTGTCGTTTCTCCCTACGTGGGACGCTTCGCGCTGGAAACACCGAGCGAGGTTTCCACTTTCCGAGCGACGCTCCATTACCATCTACTCGGATGGCCTTCGTCCTGGAGCGTTGCCGATTTCTCCAAATGTAAAGGAGAATTTATATAACTTTTCCCGCATTTCGCAGCATTGTTACTCATACAGATCTTCGCGTGATATCCGAATTCGCTTCCCGAACCGCTATTTCTTTCGCTTCCGGGAGAAGCGAGCCGGACATGAGATAACTTCGCTTTGGCGAAAGTAAAATTTACGAAAAAACGGACTCGCGAGAATTGAGGAACGTTCTAGTAATTGGCATTAAACGAGAGAGCAGACAAGCACGTACCGTAAAATGAAAATGAAGTAAAATCTAGAAACTACATTGATATAATATAAGTTTCAACGTTCTAGTTTCAACCGATTCTGCCTCTGCTACAAAAAAAAAGCAGCTCAACAAATCAACGACAAGGTCGAAACCTTCGACATGCACCAGCGAAGCCTTTCTTCTCTCGAGAAGAAAGTCCTGACTGTTTTTGCAGCAAGCCTCACCTCCTCCGCGGGCAGGTCGTAGCGCTCGGCGATCTTCTGGTACAGCTCGCGGACATTGCTGAAGTCCGATATCAGCCCCGTGGGACTGCCGTGGGCCAGTTGACAGTGGAAGACCAGCGTCGACGGCCTCGGGTCCCGGGGCGGCGATCTCGTCTGCTCGCGCTGAAGAGGCGGAGCGCCGCCGTTGCCCGACCGGCTGCTACCGTTACCGTTACCGCTCGCACCGCTGTCATGACCGTTGTCACCGCCGCCGGCCTGATGATGAGGATGTTGGTGCAGGTTGCTAGTGTGATACTGCACGCCGTTCGCAGCCTTCTCCGGCGTTATCGGACTTACCGGCGGTCTCGGTGTGGCCCGCGCCTTGAACAGCGGCATCCTCGAGTCTGCGCGGAATAAATTATTGTACAAAGAAGAGCTCCGTTATATTAAGCGCATAATCCGGCGTGACGATTACACTGGCTGGAATCCTCATTGCGAAATTGAGTTATCGAAACCGGGCAGATTGATAACTTGAGAGATACGCGCGATGAGCACCGGCCCTCGATCTTTTCACGCTTCTACATATCTCAAGGCGGAATCGCCATGATCCTGATAATGATATATGCTATTATAAGAGTTATTCGTGTATTTTTAAAGGATTATTTACAGCTCATAAGTCTGTTAAATTTTTTATGGAATATTGCAATAATATGATAGTGAGACTAAATAATATCGCACATTTGTCAAAATTATTTTAATCTGTACTGTAATAGATTAATGATTTCTCTACATGATTCATATAATTATTGTTCTAATCGACCACGAGTTCTGGAGAATCTCAACGATTTTTCACGATATTTTCCCTACACTCCAAAGATTGTATATTTGACTAGCACAAAGAAAATCTGATTAAAGAAAATTTCGAGGCTCGAAAATTTTTATTTTCTCGTTGCGTCTAATAAGAAGCGCAACAGGAAAAATCGAGGTGCGTGGATAAGAAGTTAAATTAACGATCGTTGTGTCGTTGCGACCGGATCAATAATCGCTCGACTATACGAATACGCGTTCGATTCTTCGGTTTGCGACGGTATATTGACGTCAGATAAAAGAAAAATGAGAACCACGGGGGGAGCACACGGTAATTGCAATTCCGCCGGCCGCGCGCAGGGAGATAAAAGCAAGTATCGGCCACATGTTACGTCGCCGTGAGTATCTATTACATATATATACTCGCGCTCGTTTCTTCTCCGCTATATACCTATCTCGAACTTTGTACGAAATCACTCACGTGCGCCGACCGCGGGCATCACGCGCACGGAACAATTACGCGCGTATTAATTAAGGGTACGCGCCTCTCGGGCGCGACGTCTCGTTGTCTTCCACGGGGAAGTCGACGTCTTCTTCCCGCGAAGAAGCCTCGAAAATGTAAACGCAAACGGTTTATAACATAAGGCCTCTTTCCAAATAAGTCCGAGCCTTCCTCGTCGGGCGCCTCGTTTACGATTCGCGCCACCAAGACCGTAAATTGCGGTCTTCTTTCATACGGTACTCATTATTCGACTGAATCATCCTCTTTCGACGAGGCGTAATGTCGGCATGTCTTCCTCCGCTACCTCGTGTGACTTAATTCGGATTCATCCGCCGAAAGTTTTACAAGGTATACCGTTATTCTCGCAAATTTGTAATTTTTTATTTAATTAGACCAATGTCGATGATTATATCGTATCTCTTTTTTTATATGATCTGCAGTGTTCGGTATTGAGAATACATGAAATCGATAGATGGACGTCTGACGGAATGCCTGAGAATTATATTCATCGGATGCGCACAATTTTAAGTTTTAACTTAATCGCGCGCGATAACAACGTCGCGATCGCGAGTCGAAATCTGCGATCTAAATCGCGGGATTCTGAGACCTCGGACAATAATAATAACAATTAAATCGCAACGTTAGTGTTGCGTCACGCCGAACGCCTGACACGGCTCGTACTAATTACAATTTCCCGTCTTTTAATTTCACCTGTGTCATTTCTCATCAGCAATGTTTCACCGCACGCGCTCAATCTGATTGTGAACTATCATGAAATCCGCGCGACGTTTGATGTCCGGCGTCACGCGAGTGCGTTAGAAAAACGTTGTTCTTGCCGATCATCATTACGCAATGATAATAAAAGTGCAGCAGGAAAATATTATGGCAAAATTACCCATTCGCCATTCGCAAACTGTTACTCTTTCGTTATTTTCGCCACAGATCTTAAGGTAACATGACGCAATCGTTATCTAGATTATTTTAAATCTCCAATACGTTTCTTTTCCGGCTATAAATAGCGGTAAATAATTAAGTCGGAAACTCGAACCGGTCCGATTTCGATTGATCTGATAACTGCGAATGTGCAAATTCCGCGTATTTTTGCGACGCGACGCGCGTATGCGACAATCGTAAAGCGTATATATCTTTTATCTTTGACGGAGTCAGAAATTCACTTCGTCTTCGAGCATAGTTCGTATAAATATACTTGATGTCTTTTTCTTTCTGAAGAAGATATTTAAATGATTTCCGAATTAATAATGATAAGCTAATTTATTAATTAATGTTATATTAGAGGAATTATGACGAGGGATTATGACGGAATATCTCGTGTGCGTCGTCAGTAATTTTATCTCATTCAACGTAGGACGGCGTTAAAAAAATTCGCGACGATAACAGGTCACTTTTATTACTCCTGATGTGACTTCCACGAATGGACACACAGGCGGATTCGATTTACAGATCGTTGGCGTCGCGTCGCAATCTCTGGCTAATTGTAAGCCGCCGCGGATTTCGTAAACGGCTATTCTCCCGCGACGACAATGCAAATTGTCCACGGCGCGCAATATCGCCATTCCAATTGTCTCCGATTACGGTCAATCGTCTCTGGACGAGTCCAGAAGGAGATCGTGCCCCGCGCATCTCCTCATCGAGCTCGTTCGCCTTAATTGCTGGCATGCGCGCGTTCAACTATACGAAAAATTAGAAAAATTTCCGACGCGAATCCGGCTAAAAAAAAATAATGAAAAACGGAGCGCACGCATATCAGAGAGATATCCGTGAGAGATTTCCTTTCCTTCATTAACTGTTCGCCTCGCTCCGCCGACTAATTAACGGCGTGTATACGCCGACTGTATAACATTTACATATCTCGCGCATAGACACGGCTACTGGATCCAAACATTTTACCGTTTGACATTTATTTCCACGGTACGCTAACGCGTACCGGGGAGCAATTCTCGAGAGAGAGAGTCGCTTGATTGTTCAACCATCCGGTCAAAGCTTACAAAACAGAAACGCTCGCTTATCGCGTCTTCAATTAATGCGGCAATACGGCGCGAAGATAAAAACCTCTCCGGAGGCTGACGTCGCGACTCGTGCGGCAGGTATAATTACGTAACGTAATAATTTGACTTTTCGTTTTATCGTCGTCACGCACGGCTGCAACGCGAGTGTGTCGCGCGAGAGACAAGCGAGGTAAATGTAGCAGGTTTCGCGCGAGTATCGGGACGTAACGCAGCGAAAGTAACAGAGCCTCAGCTACTTCTTTTATTATTATTATTTTTTTTTAATAGATCTTCTCAAACGATACGCGACGTAGGAATTGCTTGCCGGCGAGTTTTCGGGACATCCTGTACAACGGTATATGCACACACGTCAATACCGTAATGTTACGAGCGAGTACACGCCGGCGAGTACAAATAACACGCAACGCCCGTGCGGAACGCGCAACCGAGAAGAGACCGGCCTCTCACCTCTTCCTCCTCGCCACGATCGGCGCGCACCTGTCCGTATCCGCGTCCGTGTTGTGATAGGTATATTGTTTTATTTTCACGACAAAACGCACTTTATTCGGCGATCGCGATGGAGCGGCGAACGGAGCAGCTGCAATCGGCCGCGACGCGCTCGTCGTCGCAACTGGCAACCACCGGGACCCAAATACCCCTTTCTTTCCACTCGTCCGCCCGTTATCGTTTACCCGTTATCGCCTCGCTCGCCCGCTCGATACTTATCGCGTTACAGGCGCGAATGAGATTCGCGATCCGCGTCGGGCCGGCTCGTGGATCGAAGATCGATAACGCTGGATCTCGATTATCCCGCGGAAAACGGAGGCGGAAGGAAGGAGAAAAGAAGCTGATAGAGGAATTTATCTTCGGAAATTAAAAATCGAAATTGATAGCTCTCGGACCGTTTAGCTTCTTCTCTATTATACGCCGATTTTCACGGTGAAGATTCAGAGAAAAAATTTTGATTCTCGTTTACAATTAAGAATCCAGGAATAAGACAGATAATTTTCAGAAAGATGGAATTAAGATATAATCACTGCCTGATCACTTATGATCATGGCTTGAATGGCTCACTTTTGTTCACCAAGTTGCCTTTATAAATCGAAATTATTTCGGAGAGGATTCTGTACTCCAAAATTACATAGCTTAGAGGAGACACGAAGAGGAAGGATCGATAACATTAACGTATTTAAAATAAAGACATTATATTGCCATTTTCTTAAATAATTCTCATTACGATCGCGCGAAATAAATCTGACTTATCTGCCGCTCGAGAATAGTTGCAATTTGATTTTCGAGCAAAATCCTTTCTAGCACGAGCGATGTTCGCATACGTCACGCGACAAGGCTTTTGCAATAATATATACCTTAAAGTTCTCCTTTTCACATATTTGTTAAACTGCCTCTACGATGTATATATCCGAAAAAAATAAATTTCGCCGATGAACCCGCCACCGTCCCCGATGTAGACGACACGGTTCGAACACGGGTTCCACCTGTGCGACGTGTCTTTCGATTCGTTTTAATAACACTTCCTTCGGGCACGAGAGAACATTATGTAGCGGTAGAGAAAATCGCGCGAGGCCGATTTCACGAGCTCGCGTGCCACCGTGACCGGAAAGGCAGCGGCGAGAGGACTGATCGCGCCGCGGCCCCTTCTCGCGCCTTCCGACCCCCCTCGAGCGTGCCCGCCTGGAGTCCGTCGCTGCGTCATAACGCCAACAATGGGATGAGAATCGCGCACCGTTGCGAGCAAAAGAATTTCTTTAGAATAGTAAAAGACAGTACATCTCGAAAAAAAAAATACATAAAAATTTATTCTAAAGCAATCTTGCGTCCCGAAAGAACATATCGTTCTTTTATTTCAACATACAAGGGGCACGCCCGTTTGCTTTAATGAACAAATATTTGGATGGTGAAGAACGGAACAATAGATTAAATTTCCTGGTATATTATGTCGTAGCGCATAAAGCCATGTTTCATCGCGTGCAAATTATTGTCAATTACGTATTAAATACATATTCACGCTTTCGTGTATATTTATAGATCTTTTATTTAAGCTTTATTATACAATACCTATAGGAAAAGTATCACAAATGGCATCGTGTCGCCGGGTCGTTGAACGATGCAAAATGCGTATCGTACAAAACCGTATCGTATAAAAAATCGTGAGAAAAATCCTGTAAAAACGTGAACACTCTCGCCGGAATTCAATTCATTATACGCATGTAATACTACAATTCATATACTCATTATACTTACCAATTACCAATTATCAATTAATGTCCCGTTAAAATACCGAGACGCTTATTTTGAAAATAATACAGTCCAATACTATATTTTTCGTATAAAAAAGAAGGCAGATCATTTTCCATTTTTTAGAGACTCGTAAAATCAGACGTGAGGTGAGTCACTTTCAAAGTAGTCCCGCGTCTCGCGATCAGAACTTATCTCCGATAGATTGCACGTTTAGGGCCCGTCTAAAAAAAAAACAATGGAACCAAAACGTTATTAACAATGGACCGATTTCTTCTTTCAAGATTTTGATCTATCATTTTTAGTATACCTTGAAAGCCTCGAATACAAAAAAAAAGACGATAGCTCTCGTTATGTATGTATGTACACTACACCGACATCGCGAGAGAGATAACACAGTGTCTTGCCTAAGGGCCAAAGTCCTTCGAAGATAAGAAGCGCCGATCGCCCAGCACCGCTCGAGTATTGTCCAAATCCAAAGGTATTGGATACAAAATGCATAACAACATATTCCCCGCATCGCACCTCGTACAAACAGTAACAACATAGCGCACTTGTTAACAAAAAAACTCAAATGCACTATAGAAAAAGTTCAGTCTATATGAAATCGCTTGGAATTATAACACGCGTTTATACTCTCTAAAATTTGCGCGCGTGAATCACGCTCGCGGATCTCGAGTCTAGGACTCTTTAGACTTAACACACTGTGGACGGGCCCGCGTGTGTTCGCGGTTTCCCCGCGAACAGACACGGATAATCGAGTGACGTTTGACGTAATTTGCACATCCCGTTTGTCTTACGTATCGCGTAAACAATCGTCGTCAAGAAAAGTAAAATAATCTCGGTAAAGATGCTTATAACGCAGCAGGATGCTCATGTGTATCGCGATGGCTCCTTTATCGTTAGTTTCTTTAAGTAATCGCCAGTCCATAATGTGTTAAGACACGTACGTAAGTATGTATACATATAAGTATTTATGTAGTTAAGTATTTTTAGGGTCTAAAATCTCTCTCTTGAGAATTTCCGAGACGGGAAGAGCGCAGATAATATTTACGTATTTCACGGCCGAAAGTAACTTCGCGAATACGCGTATATACGAATGCTTACACTCTATTCGTTATTGCTTCAATATAGTTGTATACAACATCCATATCGATTAACGCGAAACGAGCGTCTAAAAAGGTTTTGTAAACGGATACAAAGACAAAAAGCTCGCGCGCGAGTACGTAATTTCGTTTTTTTTTTTCTTACGAAACGAGTGGAAGGTTTTAGAAGTTACGAGCGGCTAGATGCAGCTCCGGCTGGATGATGAACACCTTCGAGACGCGGCCGCAGTTGGACTTGTCCTCCATCGCCAGGTAGCTCCTCATCGGCACGAGCAGCTCGTCGTACGGGTCCGTGTTCAGCTGATACTCCTGCATGGCGCGGTACACGGCCTTGAAGGGCGGCTGCTTCTGCGAGTGGAACGTGCCGCGGGAGCCGTGCAGCACCAGGGCGCCCTCCCTCTCCGCCTCCGCGCACACCGACATGTACATGCAGTGGTCTGGCCGGTAGTTGTACCGGCACGAGTACACGTACAGCTTCTCCGGGTGATAGTGGAATATTATGTTGATGATGTCCTGATCGCCCCAGGTTATCTTCAGTCTGTACTCCCTGTGGATGGGGATCACGTAGTCCGTCCAATGGAACTCCCTCATTCTCGTCAGATTCATCAGCATCACCCCCGAATTGACGCCCAGCTTGCCGTAATACGGATGCTTGGCGAATCGATTGTACCAGCCGGTGTTGGGATCCTCGTGCTCGGGACTGAGGGCCGCCAGCTGGCTGGAGTTCATCTTCTTGAACTCGTCCCAGACCTTCTCCGGCGGTGCCAGGAACAGGGTGTCCGTATCCACGTAGAGCACCGCGTCCGTGTCGTTTAGCACGGTCTGAAACATAAATCCTGTATAGATCCAACTGCACGCTCTCGCGAAAAAAAAAAAAAGAAAGAAAAACATTGCCAGCTGAAGTTGAAGTCATCGATATAGGATCCGCTTACCGGTAGAAACAGACGTTGCGCCGCGCAGGGCTTGAACAGCTTCTTCCACATCGCCACGTCGCTACCGTCCGGGAAGGTGATGGGCCGCACCAGGAAGTCGAAGGTCTTATTGGATATCAGCCGCCACTCCGACAGCTTCTCGCTGAAGGCCGGTATCAGATTCTGCTCCGCCAGTATGACGAACTGCAGGGGCCTGCTGGCGAAGACCAGCGCCGACTTCAGCATGGTCAGGGCCTCGTGCAGCCTGTCCCCGCACACCACCACGCATATCGTCACCTCGCTCGTCGGGCTACCTGGGTACCTCTTCGAGAGCGCCAGGCGCTCCCGGCTCGCGGGCGGCTGGTCGTTGAGCTTGTTGGGGAAATTGGTGGTCACGTTGAGCAGTATTATCAGCGCGGCGAGGATAAGGCACAGCAAGAACAACTTGTACACGGACTTCATCACGGCGCGTTTGCGTCGCGCGTCGCGTCGCGCTTTATCTCAAATCGAGCAGAATTGCGACGTGGATGATGCGCGACGTCGGCAGTGACCTGACGGCATTTTTTGGCCGCCCTCCCTCCCGCTCTGGAAGCCGACGGGATAGTCCGCGACGTTGTGGAACACGGCGGATCCCGGGGTCGCGTCGTCGATGTTCGCGTCTCGCGTCTCAAGTCTCAAGTAATGGCGAGCGCCATATTTACGATATAACCTCGGAGTAAAGTGTCATAAACACGGAGAAGCTGATGCGCGCCACTGTCCACGGATCTGCGCAGAGAGCGCTTATGGTAATTCAAAATTATTTATACATGTATTATGTATGTAGTAACAATGTACAAAATTTAATTTAAACAATGAAAATTAAACAATTACTTAAACTTAGACAAAGGCGTATTTCGATATATAATTTTAAAAATGTTCATAGAATATTAACGCAAAGTATTTGATTGTATAATTTAATTTTAGATTTAAAAAATTCTTGAAATGAGGTTCTTACGATTTTAATTAATCACCTCTTAGCTAATTACATTTTCCTGATTTTCTCAATTTTTGAAAACTTAAATTTTGAATTTTTTTTCTTTTTTTTTTACAAAGATAAAGCCGACAGTAATTTTATCGACTGCAAGAATCAAGAGCCCTGCTGAGTTGTCGACATCGAGAAATTTAAATTCTCAAAAATTGTTCATTCGTGTCATTTTGTACATTATTTCGTAAACAATATAACTATTTAATTGGCTGTTTATCACTTAATTCTAATAAATTGACAATTATATTAATAGTATTTAGAATAACTTAATAATGTTATAATTAATACCAACGTATTTTATTATTTAAGAAACGGACGGTTATAATATCATCATTACTTTTGGTACATAACATTAATAACACAGATAATATTACACGCTGTGACTTTGGCTGTACTTTAAAGACACTAATTGCTTTTCTATGCTGCTAATAATCTTCCAATCTACGTCCTGATAAAATAGCATATCAAAATCTGGATGGCCCATCATCGCTTTTAATGTCTTTTTTGCATCATTCCTTGCAGTTAATATATTTATATTCATTATATGAGCGTAATAAAAATTTTAATATCAAGCAAATATGATATATAATTATTCTCAATAGAAAATACCTCGTTTCGTTATTGCCGTCGAGCAGAAATTTCGCACACATCGCGAATATCTTACGGCGGGTATCTTTGATATTCGAATTTGACAATAAACATTCCACTCCAATAATGCTAATAATATTATAGAGCAATCGACTCACGGTTGCTCTTATCAGCGGATTCTTGTGGCTGTACGTAAAAGGCGCGTGAATACTCAAATTTCCATATTAGGTGTACGATCCATTATACGACAACGAAAAATCAATTAATTATAATTGATATTATGTAATATAATTGTTAAAAATTTCGGTTTAATCATAGATAGAGGTAAGAGTGCATATTCGATCACCTAGCACCGTGCTCGCTGGCCAATATCCGAATACAAGTCGCGGGTGGCAGGTGCGACACCATGGAGTCCAAGGCACATTGGGCGTCATTCCGGATTCCCTTGTTCGTGTGCGTGCTCTTCAAGAGCAGCGCGGCCGCGAGCTCGTCGAATTCGGGTCTCTGCGTGCACTGGACCGTCTTGTACAACTCCATCGCTACCTGGCAGACAGTTCTAACGACGTGCGGCCTCGTATTTCGCAACAAGCTGCGAATATGATACGAGGTTGCACTGTAGCGAGCGAAAGTGTATGATGGCGAAAGAGATACGGTGGGAATTGCTCAAATGACCTGCACAAGGTTCGATATATACGAGGCATGCTGGCGTCCAGCAATTCCGGTTGAACCCGCGAAATGTGCGCCAGCTTTATCAGAGCCGACACGCTGCTCTGCCACTGATTTTGCTTCAGGCTCTGCATGGCGTGTTTCAATGCCTCGTGCGGACTCACAAATTCCTCCGGTATCCCCGCAAAATCGCCCTCCAGCGTAGATGCATCCTCCCCGTAAACGGCCGTAGGATTAACATCCTTCAGATATTTGCTACATGAGAATATACATATAAACATACATGAGAGCGATATACTCAACGTTCATTACTTATACATATTTTATTTTTGTAATTTGCTAATTTGGCTTAATTCACAATTAATGTTGCGCCTCACATTGAAATTTCAGTAGAAACAAATTAAACCGATGTACCTGTCAGGTAATGTGGGAAAACGCAGGTCTCCCGAAGCCCCGGAATACGTCGCCTCGACAAATTCCGTTTTTGCAACTTGTAATGAATTTGCACTCTCATGTAGAATAGATAAGGAATTCACTTCCGTCGCCGCGCGTGTGGCAGACTTACCTTTATTATTATTATTCTTTTAAGATAGTTTTTATCGCGGAATAAATACCGGCACGTTAAACGATTTTGCAATCGTAATTAACGTTCTCCTACCTGCACCTTTGCACATGGGGCACGTAATATACTTGCACTCGGTGTGCGCCATTCTATTACAAATTTATCGGCGCGATATGCGACGCGCGATATTAGATTTTACAGAAATTGCTTCTTTTTTAATGCTGCCGGAATTTATCTGCTATATCTCTGCCTCTAAACGTCCATTTTAAACATGCAAGCATCGCTTGCATAACTTTCCGCAAAAGTATTCCGCTTCGGCATTTAGATAAGTTCAAGTCGATATCGACACGCGTAAAATTTGCATTGCAATGCCCGATATTGGCGTGCAATAATTTTGTTAAAAAAAAATTTCAATAAGTCGAATCGACGGAAATTACGATGACGGCGGCGAAAGATAACGAGTAGTTTGGCATTGAGCTAAGAAAAAAAGAACCTCCGCAATACGTATTTTCTTTGAAAATAATTTTCTTAATTGACATCAGAATATGTACATTATATATTACTTCTCTATACATTTTGCATTAATTATAGAATCATCTATAATTAAAAAGCCGATAAAGCTATGAAATGTAGCACAGTCGCATTTATCCTAAACGAAATAAGATAAATTGGTCCTCTTCGATGAACCGCGAGAAAAACGAAAGTTATCTCGCTTTGTCGAGAAAGCGCTTTCCGTCGGCTAGTCGCGATTTTCTAGCCGACCGAATATGGTCCGGTTCGATGACACGTTCGATGACATCGCGTCGTGTCGTCTAAGTATAATACACTTCTCAATTCAGTTACGATCGAAGGATATAACTGCGTATCCGTCATCCTTCCCATTTTATGCCACGCAATTCCACAGTTTATGGATACTTTTGTCCCGCACTCCGTTCTGCAGTCCCACATTTTTTTTTGTCTCGCGAATAAAAGAATGAAAGACTATCCTTACTTTCGAATATCCCCTAAGAAGCGTATCAATTCCGTATATCACGACGGCGGTTTTTCCAGCGAGATATTATAATCCAAATGATCGCAGTGTATGGGACACTGGTAATACGACACCGCACTAGCGTGGCCGGATCTTCCGGATGTCATAGGCACACCTTGGGTCCATTGGTCCTGGGTCGGATCGTAAATTTCTACTATGTCTAAAAACGTCGTACCGTCGTATCCTCCTGGAAAAAAAAAAAAAAGAAATCGGACGTGTACGTCATTTTCTACAGCATGCATCCTCTGAAGAAGCAGAGTTTACTCTTTCTCGACAAAATAGATTAGTGCTCACCCATCGCGTACAGTTTGCCGTCGAGGATGGTGACGCTGAGAGCACTGCGGGCGATGGTGACGCTGCTCACGTTCTCCCACATGTCGCGCTCCGTGTCGTACCTCTCTACCGAATTCAATTGCGATTTCCCGTCGTATCCGCCTATGATGTATATGTACTGGCCCAGACTGGCCGCAACGGCCCCCGAGCGACCGCACTTCATCGGCGACACCATCGTCCATTCGTCGTTCTCAGGATGGTAACACTCCACCGAGCTCAGCCGGTTCTTGCCGTCGAAGCCGCCGATCGCGTACAGCAATCTGTCAGAAAGAACGATCATACCTCTTGTGCCATGAAGATTTTATGCGCAAAGCTCTTTCAAATGCGATACACCGATGTTTTCAAGTGAAATGAAAGGTGTACGCTGTTTATATATTTAAAAGAAATATTAAAAGAAACAAATAATATCATGTGACATCCAGAGTATTGTAATCTGTATTATAATATAATTAACATACTGATGTCATAGTCTAAATATGATTTACTTTGAAATTTAAATTCAGCAATTTGTTTTCATAAGTAACTGTTTGATTAACATTTTTATCATTCGACAAGTAGCGGCGTTGCGACAAAAGTATTACCTATTCACTACCGCTACTCCTACGCCTAATCTCTTGTAATGCATGGGTTTCACACTGGTCCACATATCTTGATCCGGGTCGTAGCATTCGACGCTGTTATGGTACTCAGCGCCCGCGCTGCCACCAACAGCATACAACAAGCCGTCCATAACGGCGACCCCGAGCCTGTTCCTCGGCACCGACATTGGGCTGCATGGTCGCCATTGATCCGTCATTGGGTTATATCTGTCGACCCAGTCGCTGTCGTACCTGAAAAAAGTCGTGTGACTTTTTTTAGCTATATTCCAAAGTTACCACCGGCTTTAACGTTCGCATTTGGAACCATTTGCATAGAGAGCAGTGAGTCAACTATATTTTTCGTGCTGCTTGATATATAATGTACTGCAGAATAAAATTTCTTTCATTTGTTAAGTATTTTTGAAATCTCCATGCAAAATTAGAGCATTTTTAGATGCAAAGCAAAAAGAAATTTATCTGGATTATTTTCCATTCATGTGATCATAGATGCAAGATTTGCTTGAATATTAAATCGAAAACAAAAAGCACTACAAAACAAAAGCATTTTACATTGCATTTAAAATATTTCCTATTTCTAAAAAATACAATAAAAAAATAGAATCCGCTACAAATATAAAGAATCACATATAAATTTTGTAGCGAATTTCGTTAAAGAAAAACGGAATATATATCGGAACATATTTAAATATCTAAACATTTAAAACTTTATAAAACAGAACTTACATGGCACTCTTTTAATACCAAAAATATAGCACTTCAATTTTTGTAAAATAAAAAGAAAATCAAAGAGACACAATCTTAACAAAAAGTCCCCGAGATCCAATAAAATTCCATTACTTCTTCAGGCAGGAAAAGTTTCTTGAGAATTTGAGTTTTTCAAGTTTTTCCAGGACATCTCGTATTACTATAGCTCCGAGACATCGAAACCCAATCGGCATCCGAGTGCTAACCTGCTTCCCGGTGAATTGTGTCTGCCGCCGACCGCGTAGAACATTCCCTTGATAAACGCACCGCCCAGGCCGGATCTGGGGACGATAAGCTTGGCGTGCTGCGTCCACGTCTTCTCGTCGACGTTGTAACCCTCCAGGACGTCGAGGGAGTTCTTGAAGAAACCGCCGACGATGTATATCACCCGCCGCGTATTGGGCGTACGCTCCTTCACGACCGGCTTCTTGTGCAGCGTCAGATCCTTGAAGATCTGCGCCAGATACTCGCGGCACGCCGGCACCTTCTTCAGCACGTCGCAGTTCTTCATCTGCTCGCGCAGGAAGTTCGGCGTGAGGTACTGGCAGCGTACCGCGTGCAGGATGTGCTCCATCTTGGGCCGCCTCCCCTCCTCGTTGTACTTGACCCACTTCAGCACGGCGTTGTAGACCTCCCTCTCCTCCTGCACGTTCAGCTCGTCCTTCCTGATGAGCGTCACCAGCTGTATGGTGGACAGTTGCAGGAACTCCTCCTCCTGGCATATCTGGTTGAAGTGCTGAACGATGAACTGATTCGCCTTATGGTACAGATCGTGGCAGCCGTGCTGCTCGGCGAAGTTGGCGATTCCAATCGCGTTCGTGGGGTCGAGCTGTCTTTCCAGAAAGACACTGCACGCATCTATCACATTGCTAACCTGTAACACAATTTATCGATTACGTTTTAAATATCAGGAGCAAGCAAGTCCTGTAATGCTCGAATGTATTTATCGATGCAATTACTTTCCCCTCGTCATATGTTTCTCTTCTTTAAAATTTTGTTTGTTTACGTACTTGGAACATGGTAGCTGCCGACAGCAGCGAACACACGGTAATCTCAGTGACTCTTATTTGACCGGTATACATGAAGTACATTAAGCGAGCCATCGTGGTTGGGCAGACACCCTGGAGCTTCACCCTCGTCATCTCGCATTCCTTCAGTCCTCCAGTGAACATTGCCTGGAATTTTAAGGCCAGTTAGCATTATCAACTTACCACTCGCATCTAATTTCCGCGGCGTAATCCTCCTTCGCACACGAGATAATATAAGCAACTAAGTTTGAGTTAAACAGTAAACACACGCACGTCACACTTTCCGTACGGCTGTCAAGCTTACCTTAAAGTAGGGACTAGCTGCTGCTAAAATAACTTTATGCGCGTGGAACAGTTCGGAACCGACCTCCAGTATCACGTCAGTCAGCATATGATGGCTGCGCATCATAAACATCATCTTCATGGTCTCCTTCAGGTAGTTGGCCATGCAGAACGTCATGTCGCCGAGGTCGCCCTGGTGCCGCTCCGTGTTGAGCATGCTATCCCAATCCGTTTCTTCCCCTGACGAGAGCGGGGCAGCGCCCGGCGACGGCGCGCCGTCCCGGGCATCTTTCGTCCGCTGGCAATCTTCCTCTCCATCCATTAAAGTAGAGCTGCAAGGAGCGAGAGACGCGGGAATTGCGCCTTTAGATATTTACATACGTTCGCGTCATCGCGCGTCGCGCGTCGACCGCGTACGACGGCGCACTCCTTCTTCCACGGTCCTTCCTTCTCGGAACTCATTAATATCGCGGAGCTATCGCGCCCGTTTCCCGAGACGCGTTTCCGAGCCAGCGTCGCGACGTCGCGTACTATCCACACACGTACGGAGGAATTGAGCCGCGGGCGAGAGAGAGAGAGAGAGAGAGAGAGAGAGAGAGAGAGAGAGAGCCGCCGCGCATCGTCCGTCGCGCGCAATAATAGCAGCGTAATCGCGCGACGCATGGTGAGCCGCGGAAGCGTCGCACGTGATCGCGAGATGCTTTTCACGGACGGAACCCGTTGTCGTTGTCATCGCCGCGCGGAGATCGACCAAGAGACCGATCCTCGGTCGTCTCTCCTGCGTGCGCGCGCGCGCGCGCGCGCGCTTACGAGCGAACGACCGCGCGCTCCGTCGCACATACGCATGGCAACTTACCCGGCCGCCTGCCAGATCGCCAGGGCAATTTACTTGCGTCGAGGAGTCACTGGGCGCGCGAGCGAGATGGGAAAACGCGGCGGAGGCGGATAGTAAGGCGGCGCGATCATGTTTCGCGATCGATCTCGCCGATGATACACGATGACGCAGGCATCTCTCCTCCACCTCCGGGCTTCGGGCCTGCTCCGATAGATGCACGGCGTCACTGGGCGCGAGCTGCGAGCGGGGCTGTCACGTCGGGACTCGCGTCTTGTGTCGCGCCAACGGACGATTTGCATACGCACGTGTTTCACGCGCCACGGGCGATCGCGAGCGAGACGCGGACACGGGAACGCGGGCAACTGCTGCGGACGTCGCGGGCGGGACTTCCTTCGCGTTTCGCCGCCGACCGCCACTGTCACCGTCCGCCACCGCCGGCGGCGCGAAAGCGCGAGATCGCTTCGTCACGATTTGTACCGTAGATACCGCGCCGATGTACCTTTGTCCGCGCCGCGGCTGATAGCGGTCGGCCGACGTCGGCTGGCTCTGGCACTGGCTCGGCTAATAATCCACCACCGCGGCCCTGACGGTGACTCGGTAATAATAAAATACGGCCTCGCACGCCGGAGCGGATCGGAGAGATCTGCAGCGGCGCGCGGAGGATGATTTTTAGCGACTGTGCTGATCCCGCGACGACCCGCGCGTCGGTTGTTCCCCGGGATTTCAGCGAGCGCGACGGATCGGCAATTTGATCAATTCCGCGAAATTTAATCGCTCGCGGAAACTGGTCGTTTCCGCGAGCGATGCGAATCAAGGCCCTCCCTCTCCCCC